CCGATCAAGACCCACGAGCCGGAAGCGTGCAGTCCATGGATCGACGAAATCCATTTCGCACCACCTAAGAAGCCATGGAAGGATCTGATTCCCCTGTCAAATTCGCACCAACAATGGCTTATGGTTTCCAAGTCGTGTCACGGATTTCGTCCATCCACAGCATACCCGCTGAACATGGAGCTGCCACCTTCAACAAGACCAGTGAAGCGCTTCTCTTGCGAACTCGCGCAGTGCAGCGTCCTCTACTAGGTCCTCCAGTAGAGAGGGTAGAATAAGGGTACCCGGTTTTTTTCTGTAGTCTACTTTAGTAGGGGAACACTCCCCCCAAAAAGGGTAAAAGGGCACTACTGGGGGACCTAGTCTATGTCCGCATGCAACGTATACTTGGTTTGTGGCTTTCTGGCTCCCAGCGTGACTCAACATTGATGCTCCTGCAAGCTGAAAATACATTCGACCTGAGCTCCTGCGTGTTCTCCTGCTACTTGCTGACTGGATCCTATCATAATACCTTCGGTGGAAGCAATGAACGTCCATCCCTTCGGTCGGCGAAAAGCCACGGCCGGCAATTGGAATCCCTCAGATGCTCAGTCACCATGGGAAAAAGGGCATCCTGTTTTGGTTGGTTGACTTTATAGGGGAACCCTTCCCCAAAAAAGTTGAAAAAAGGGCACCACTGGGCAATTGGGATCCTGATGTTGCTTCTGCAGCTCGCAGTTCCAAATTCGCACGCGCGAAGATTTGGCGGACTTCAAGCTGAAGCAAAGATCAACCTTCAGCGTCGACGCCGCTTCGCTCTCCAGGCTCAGGCTGTCGACCTAAAGGAAAAGGATAAATACAGATCCACCGAAAACACCGGACCCGTTCTTTTTCCTAGGTCCTCCAGATTTGAGAGGTTAGAATAACGGTGCCAACTTTTTATGTTTCGTCTATTTTAGTAGGTTGGCCCTCCCAACCAAAAAAGTTGATAGAGAGGAGCACCTAGCTGGGGGACCTAGTTCTCTCCTCCCCCTCCTCCAAAAAGGGCAAAAGGGCACCTAGCTGGGGGACCTAGTTCTCTCCTCCCCCCTCCCCCAAAAAGGGTAAAAGGGCACCTAGCTGGGGGGCCGTTCTTTTTCTTCCATTTGTTTCTTGCAGGCCCCGTTCTCCTTTCACGTGCAACGAAGCCTCGTCTTTTCCTCAACTTTTTGCTTGCCGGGCTGCCGCGTCTGCGAGCTGATGGCCCACCTGTGCGCGGTCCGCAGTGGACACCATGTCCAAGAAGCTGCAGTCCACGGTTTGGAGCTCCAGCTTCTTCATGATGCGCTTGGAAGCGCTGAACCTCAAAAGCAGGAGTCTGTCAAACCCCTGAGACGGCATCCTAGGGCATTGGATGTAACCTCCATGAGTCAAACCCCTAAAACCTCCGACATGAGCCTGTCAAACTCCTAAGAGTTTTCATCCTCCAAGGGCAAAAGGATGTAACACAAAATAAAAATGACAGCGGCTGAAATATGGAAAGCGGAACATCAAAGACCAACTGAGCCGAGTATCACCTGCATCCCGTTGGCATCAAATAGGATGTAGTCCTGGGCAGTTTGAACAGCTGTAACGCACTAGTGCAGTCAAGGAAGAAGGATGACCCTGAAACAGACCACAGAGAAATGACCAACACGCCCCAATCCTGCTTGAATATTGAGGGCACCTGACAATAGGCTCTCTCTCGTGGATGGCGCACCAAGGGAACCAATCGAGGATCGCGTCTTACCAAGACCACAAGCTTCCGCGGCTTCCGCCGCGCAAAGGGATGGGCAAAGGGCGCCTGCGCCCTGGAAGTGCTCTTAGTGCAGTGCTTGTTTTTTCTGTTTTCTGGCGCTATTTTCATGTTTCTCCGTGCGCCCTGGGTGCTTTTTGGTGCAGTGCCTTGGTGGATCTTTGTTTCTGCCGCTAAAGTTTCTCCGGATGCCCGGACGCGGGAGGGATCCCCAAGTAAAGGACCTTTCTCCTGAGCTCACTATACCGCCGAAAAAGGTGAGCTATGGTGAGCTCGCTACAAAAAAAAGAAGAAGGCAGATTATGCCCCCCCTTTGCTGAAAAATCCAATTGCAAAACAGGAGCTGCAAAAACTATCCCTGTAAATTCCAGCGGAAAAACAGGGGGAGAAAAAAACATGAACAAAAGCTTGCTCTGAACGATATTGTAAGTTCGAGCTTGTGCAGCATTCGGAGTATATGGACCGGATGCCGTTCCATTCTTGGGCTTGCATCTCGGAATGTGGAGCTTTGGGTGTGGGAGATGCGCGTGCTAAATGCTGAGAACTCCCTTGCAAATGACACAAACTCGCAAGCGACGTATTGAAGCCGCGACAAATTCAAGGACACCCTTGCGTAACCCAAGGTAAGGATCAAGGATTGCATTGAACAGCACAAATCAATAATCGAAAGCACTCACCGCTCTGCAAACCTAATGCTAGCAAGAAAGGCCCTGGACCAGCCTTCCACATCCCAGAAACAAGCACATTTCAACCACCAATTCATGCTTGCTGTAGCTCCACTCGGAACGCAAATGCGCGTTCAACTCACACCGGCAGAGCGTGGTTCAAGCCAGCCATCCAAACACTTGCAAGCAAACAAGCGTTGATGATTCCATATTAACCAACTCTAGTTCATTAACAAGGGAGGTGTCAATCATCACTTTTGGAGGGAAACACCCTAGGGTCAACATTAGCCTGCACGGACAATCGGTTCGGGCGTTTTGGCACCGGGGTTCATAAAGCGACCCCACATCCCAAAACTGGGTCCTCCTCAGTCTATTTTTGTACGGGAACCCTCCCCAAAACAAGTTAGTCATAGGGCACTACTGGGTGACCTAGAAAACGGGGGGGGGGGGAAAAAAACGTGGCAATGGTCCTTGTCAGTGCTGCTTTCGCTGGATCTGCTGGATCTCTCGGACCTGGATCCATCACTCGAGCCGGAGTCCGTGTGCGCGAGGCTGTGATATCCTGGGATCGCAATCTGCTGCTCGGGCTCTGGTACTGCCGATCGAGCATCCAGCAGTTTCTCCTTAGCAAAAAAGGGGCACTGCTTGGTTGACGTTGGAAGGGGAGCAACAATTTAAATTTTGGCAGTTAAGTGGGGACCTCCCACTAAACCACAATAAGCAAACATGTAAAATGTTTCCCAACAACAACCATGACTGAAACAGGATGAAAAAGGGGTTCCGCTTTTTCAAATCTCCGCAGAGATGCCGAAACCGCAAACCACAGGAGGTGTGGAAGGAGGTGTGGGGGAGGGTTTTGGGCTGACTGGCCTTCGCCTTGCAGGGAAAAACGCAGATCAAAAGCCACAGCCTGCAACCCAATAGTCCAAAGCCGTGGCCTTCCATTCGATCCGCGAGCTGCTTAATGGTGACCTCATATTGATCAACCCCAGTTTATTCATAGAGGGGTCTCCGCTCCAAAAGTTCTGATTCCTCACTAAACCCTGAAATGGACACCCCCCTATGAATAAACTGGGGTTGACTAATATGGGGCCAACATATGGCTGTGGGTTAGAAAAAAGGTACCCTAAATGGAGCCGTGGTAAATGGAACCAAGGACTAAAACCTGCGGTCCCCTGTTGGCTTAATTGTGACCCATACCCATCTATTCCGCGAGCTCAAATGCAAACTTCAGTCGAACACTGCCAGGAGTCATCGCCATACTCACGGATGCCCACCAAATGCTTGACCTCCCCCAAAGCATCACCTAGGCAAGCGGGCCAGGCGTCCATGGCCAGAGTTCGCTTTGCGTCGATGGATTCTATCAGATAAAGACAATGATTGTATTCGAAATAGGTCTTTCGTTGAGGAATTTGGCTAGGGTTCAAGTTGTAGAGTCTTTTGATAGTCTTCTGCTGAAAAAAGAAGCACCGAGAGACATAGAGATGGAGCTTCAATGTCACCCTATGATTAATGATCCACCGCGAAATAAAGTATGTTCTTGACTCTGCACTGATTAATAAACCACTCCTAAATGAAATTTGTCCAGCCGACCTTCTTGCCTTTCTCCACCGACCTGCCCAGCAACTGGCTCGCTTGCACCTTCCCTTTCCTTCGTTCGCCAAAGCCAGGGTCCAAACCTCAACCTTGAAAACGATTGAACTTTTTGCAACAAACTGTTCTCTAATCTTTTCAGCTAGGGGTAGTACAGGAAGCACCAAAAAATCTTATTCAGGGGACCCCCAAATAAGTTCCCCACAACAGCTTCCAGAACATACCTTTCCCAGATCTCCCTTGAAAACTCCCTGCTAGAAAAACTCCCTGTCTAACTGCCAAACGTACAAGGCCCACCCCTACTTACAAACAACAGGAATCAAGAAGAATCAAACTAAACTAATACTAAACTAATATCAAAATCAAAGGCACCAAAAGGAATACAAACCAATACTAAACTAATACTAAACCAAGAGAACCTCAAAGGAATACTAAGCAATTCTAAAGCAATTGACCCCCCCCGAGACATGTATTTGAGGGGCTTCAATTGTTTGGGGGTGCTTGCGAACCAGAGGTTGACATTAGCCCAAAAACACATGATGTTCTGAGACATGTTTCGTCGATACTACATGTCTTGTTGTCGACCTGGGCTGGACATCTTTACTTCCCTTCAACCTTGCCCAGCATTTGTTGAAGCGACAGCTGGTAGAAGGATGCGCGTAATACGGGGCCCAAGGCGCTAGTCCTCACGTGGAAGATCTCCATGGGAATGATGTTGCCCACTCCATCGCGCACGTGTGCATGCATCGCGCGGGCGAAGGTATCATCGGCATTGGACTTTTCGATCATTTCCTCAACACTTGGGTATGGGTCAAAACTAAACCAGGACATGGACCGCAGGTTTTAATCCATGTTTCCATCTTCCTCCCCGCCCCCCTGAAAAATGGAATTGGGGGAGGGTGGCCCCTGCAATTCCCTTTATGGGCACCTATTAAGTTGTGGTACCTTTTTTTTTTTTACCCAGAACCACTTGTTTTGCCGTGCTGAACTGCTCGCCACACCCTCCAGAAAAACAAATCAAACGTTCCAAGACGCATCCACCCGCTACACACACACACACGGCCAATGAAGCTTAGAGGCGCATGATATTCTTAGACTAGAGTACTAGAGGTGCCCAAAGGCTAAGAGGTACACCCTGCCAAACGCTAGAGGCGAGATGACTTCGAAAGGCGTCGATGTCATGGTTGCCGCCCCCACAGCGGGAGGGGGATCATTTTCGAACACCGATTTTGGATCATTTTCGAACACCGATGTCCTGGATCATTTTCGAACACAGAGTGGGTCATTTTCGAACACATAGGGGGCTATCCTGCGGCAGGTGGGGCAGTTACGTTTGCCTCTTACTGCGTGACCGTGCCACTGCGTCCTGGGGGTGGGGGTGGGGGTGGGGTGGGGCAGTTCCGTTCCTCTTACTGCGTGACCGTGCGACTGCATCCTGGGGCTGGGGGAAGGGGGTAATTGCGAGCGCTGCTGACTGCGTGACGGTGGAACTGCGTATTGGGGCTGGGGGGGGGGGGGGGTGGGGCGGGGCAGTTACGTTCGCCTCTTACTGCGTGCCCGTGCAACTGCGCTTTGGGGCTGGGAAAAAGGGGGCCCGAGTCCCAAGTTACCTGGGCTTTTTGAGCTCAAATGTCCTCGGCGATTTGCGCTCGTTGGCCCCCGTAAAGCCGTGAAAACTCGGCCTAACGGCCGTAATAACTCGCGCGGGAAACTGAAAGGCCGTTACTACTCCGTGAAAAAGCCGTGAAAACTCGAGAAATTTCAAGCTCTGAGTTATCTTGTCCTCGCGACACAAAAACCTCCTTAGCTCATACGGCCTAAGTAACTTGCGAATCGGAGCCTCCTGGAATTGCGATCGCCGCTTACTGCGTGGCGGCGCAACTGCGTATTGGGGCTGGGTGGGGGGTGGGGTGGGGCAGTTGCGTTTGCTTCTTGCTGAATGACCGTGCGACTGCGTCCTGCGGCTGGGGGGGGGGGATGGGGTGGTGCAGTTGCGTTCGCCTCTTACTGCGTGACCGTGCGACTGCGCACTGGTGGTGATGGTGGTGTTGTTGGTAGTGATGATGACGGTGTTGATGATGGTCATGATGATGATGATGATGATGATGATTATGACGATGTTGATGATGCTATTGTTGATGATGATGGTGATGTCGACGTTGATGTTGATAATGGTGATGATGTTGTTAATGATGATGATGGTGATGATGTTGATGTTGACGATGTTGACGATGTTGACGATGTTGATGTTGTTGATGATGATGGTGGTGATAAAGATGGTGATGATGGTCATGTTGATGGTGTTGTTGATGATGATGATATGGATGTTGGTGGTGATGTTGATGATGGCGATGATGATGTTGGTGTTGATGTGGATGAAGGTGATGTTGCTGGTAGTGATGATGACGATGTTGATGATGATGATGATGGTGATGATGATGATGGTGATGATGATGATGATGATGATGATGATGATGTTGACGATGTCGATGTTGATGATAATGATGATGATGATGACGATGATGATGTCGCTTTGCGTTCCTTGTGCTTTGTGTTCCCGGGTCTACAGTTGACGATTGTCTCCCAAAAGCACGGCGCCATCCATGTGCTACACGTGCATCGTGGTGCGTGTTCGTGCGCCTCATCGTGGTGTGCATGGACACTGGGAAAAATGGCCGTGCTGCTGTAAATCACATACACTTGAGGAAAACCGCGTTCAAAAACGAGCCAAAACACGCGTTCAAAAACGAGCCAAAACACGCGTTCAAAAACGACCACCTTCCCCCCACAGCTCCTCCCCCAAAACAAAGAGCAGCTTTCCGAGCATCCACAAAGTGGGTCTTGTCCTCCTCACTAGCCAGGCACTGGTCGAAGTTGGTGCCCTGGTTGGTCTTCAAGTGGAAAAGCATGGATGCCAGGCCCGGCTCATCGTGTTCCAAGCGCAGGTCCTACCGTCGAAGCCATAGACGCCTTCTGATGACATATGAGGGGCCCATGTCTTACGAACCTCTCGCTGAGAGCTTTTTAGCTGAAAAGACCTTTTGACAAAGGAAAAAAACATGGACCAAGCATTTGACACATGGGTATGGGTCAAAATTCAACCAGGATATGGACCGCAGGTTTTAGTCTTTGGTTCCATTTACCAGGGCTCCTTTTTGGGGTTACCAACTATTTTTGAGCCACACCCTGCTTCCGAGCCCGCCCTTCGGCTCCGCGTCGAGGAAGAAATGGGCATCGCAGATGGTGCCCAGCAGCGCGCTGCAAGCCTTGCCCTCGGATCTCAGGTTCGCCGCCTGGAGCGTCGCCGACGGGACAACTGCAACCTCCAAATCCTGGTTGCCCTCAGGTCCTCTGCTACAAGCGTACCTTTTCTTGGTTGCTGTTGACCCTGCAAAAAGTGAATAACTCTTGGGGGGGTTAGTGGAAAACACCTTTGTTTCAAGCAAAAAGTGGACGTCTAAAGATCCAACCCAATAGCAGTCAAGTTTGTTTCACAAGGAAAAAATAACCCCAACCTGTAAACATCTGAGACAAAATCTGACACCCCCCGAATTCTCAAACCCTGTGTGCTTTTGCTGAAATACGTCATGAGCACTCTGCAAGGCACAAACGCTTATGACGCTTCACCTCTATGTCAACCAAACTTAGCAGTGATGTGCTAATTACCAACGTTCGCAGTCTTTTGCGGCATGGCAGCGAGAGCAAACAGCTGAGACCCCCATCAATCAAAAAGCATTGGCGCACAAAGGCAATGATGACAATAAAGGGCTGCTGAGTGCATGTGTGAAGAGACATGTAGCATCTCCCAATGTAGAAAGCTGTAGCAAGCGAAAAGTGCCGTTCTGGAATTGGCCAACTAAGGACAAGAATGCCAGAATTATCACAAGCTACAAGCCATCACTTGATCAATTGAAAGGCAGGCCATGCGATTTGGAACCCTCCCATAGCCTTGCGGGCCATGTCCTGCCTCGACCCCTTGGCTAAGTGGTCGGAGGCTGGGAGTCCAATCGGCCCGCCTCAATGCCCTGCTTCACGTTCAGCAACAAGCCCTGATGTAGGCAAAAGCATACCTTCGTTGCTCCAATTGCTCGGGTGCTTCTTGGTTGGAAATCTTCGAATGTGGCGACAGAGACCAAGCAGGAAACGAGAACGACGAAAAATCGGTGCTGGAAAGCTGAGAAGCAATGCAACACGCAAAGATCACTGACACGTCGTAGAGAATGGTGCTGCTCGTGTACAAACTCATCCACGTCTTCAGACCTTCCTACGACTCACCCGACACGCTTCCTCTCGCCTTTGTCGAGGATGGACGTCTCTTGCTCGCAAGTTGTCAGAGTCATGTAGCATCAAGACACGCTTAAACAATCGGGGCAGAAGAGCAGACATCTAAAATGCAGTTGCTCCCCAATTACATGAGGGTACATAACTAATCAGTTGCTTAAATTTTCTAGCATGCATTGCTCAGCAAATCGTGCGAGCATCATCAACACCGACTAGCACTACCAGCGGGCTGTGAGCAAGACGGGGCTAGGATGAACTAATAGCATCGCCAGCGTCAGCGGGCTGCGAGTAAGATTGGAGCTAGGATGAACTTAGGGTGGTTCAGGGTTGGCTTTGGGGTGCATGGCCACAGAAAACCCCTGAACAGCCGCAATAGGTATAACAAAAAAGCCACCAAAAAGCCACGACAAGCCACCCACGAAAAGAAACCAAGACTGCAAAAGTCGCGAAAGGAAACTATAAACACACATGGATTTCTCGTTATCACAACCAAGCAGGGAGGCGATATGATGCGATATGTGTAAATGCCGAGAACCGGAGAGGTGTGGACTGGGGGACCCAGGGTACCCTCAAGATCGGGTTGCGCAGGACCTTCAGTGCAAAGCCGGGGCGGGGCGGGGACGGGGGGGGAAGGGGTAGGGGTAAGGGGCGTAGGATTCAGGGGTAAAGGTTTCCTTGATAACGCCCAGGACGACCAATTTCACTCTTTGGGATATTTGAAGCGTGCGTGTCCTTTCCTAGGAATCGCACCTCCCAAAACAGTGGCTTTCCATTTGGTTTCATTAAACCAGAAACAGCAAGGTACCAACTCAAAAACAACTCACTTCCTGAGTTGACTCGGTGAGAAAAGGTTTCCAACACCTTGAAGTCGTTGCGACAGAAAACTCTTCGCCCGCTCCTCGAAGTCTTCCATGCGATCGCCCAGGATCCGGGCCAAATGCTGCCAAACCTCGGCTCGTCGCTGCCAGGATGAGGAAAGCCACGGATCGTGCGTGGAGCCCCAGATCTTCAGATCCCAAGTGATGCGGGTCATTCCCTCAAGTGGTCTGAAGCCCCGACCAGGGATTCTGCGTAAAAACTGGGGCTCCCACTACCTTGGTTGACGTTGGAAGGGGAGCAACACATCAAAATCTAGCAGTTAAGTGGTTGGATTTCACCACTAAGCCACAATAAGCAAACATGTAAGATGTTTCACCCCCAACCCACCCCCAACCCACCCAAGCCACACCCAAGCCACCCCTACCCACCCCCACCCACCCCAATTCTACGGAGAAAACAAAGACCAACATGCCGTGCCGCAGAGAGGCCCTGCCCCCCTCGGCCGAGACGACATTCTCCACGCGCAGGTTCTCGAAGCGCTCCTCGAGGGCGAGGCGGTTCGCCGCGTGGCAGGCCACGTTGCTCAAGAAGACGCAGAGCAGGGAGTCCGTTAAGGGCCTTGGGCATGTGACGACACCAATCCAGTGTAGGTCCTCCAGTAAGAGGCTAGAATAAGGGTACCCTTTTGTTCTGCAGTCTATTTGAGAGGAAACCTCCCAAAAAAGGGTAACAGGGCACTACTGGGGGACCTAGCAGTGCTCTCTTTTCGACTTTGCCCAGGGGTCATGTTGACCACTCCGGACCATAGTTACCGTGGCAATTTGGTGCTCACAATGTTTCAAACAGCCAGGCGGTGTCCCGCAACAGCAAGCCATGGTGATGTCCCACCCAGTTTGCGAATGAAAGCCGAAGGGCAACAAACCAAATCGAAGCAGCCAGGTGATGCCAACTGCGACGGGCACGGAGTTGGGTGGGCATAAGCCGGGCAGTGCGAAGCAGCACAGCAACAGCATGAGCATCAGGTAGGTCACTGTCATCCACCTGGGGTGCAGGTAGACTGCACCCGAAGCCGAACGGGTGTGTGTTTTTTGAGGGTGCCCTTTTGCGGGTTGGTGGCATTTTGCCGCTATGTTGACACATGCCCGTCAACAGCAAGTCAGTGAAACGTGCAGCACTGCTGGATTGCTTCCCCCTGAATTTGCCATCCTCACAGGCTTTCATGCAGTGACCTCATGTATAGCTGCACAGTAGATCTTGGAAGACTTGACAACATGCCTGCAAACTGTGACCACGGTCAGAACAATACATCATTGGCCAGCTTGGATTGTCGCGCTGAGTCTTTCATTTCCTCAAGCCCAGCCTCTGCAACATGCCTCTGCAGCTAAGCACCAGCAGCAGAAGCATGCTCAGCAACTGCCAACCAAACTTGATGAAGGAGTGCTCCAAGGAGTAGACGGGTTGTACGGGTACGTTACTCCTTTGCCTGACAAAGCTGCGTTAACCCTGCTCTTGACAAGCATTAGCGGGCGGAAAGAAAGAAAGAAAGACAGAAACTTCACTGTGGGGGGGAGGGAGGGGGGCGTGCCTGCGTGCCTGCCTGCCTGCCTGCCTGCGTGCGTGCGTGCCTGCGTGCCTGCGTGCCTGCGTGCCTGCCTGCGTGCCTGCGTGCCTGCGTGCCTGCCTGCGTGCCTGCCTGCCTGCGTGCCTGCCTGCGTGCCTGCGTGCCTGCGTGCGTGCCTGCCTGCCTGCCTGCGTGCGTGCGTGCGTGGGGTGTGGGTGTGGGTGTGTGTTGTGTGTTGTGTGTCGTGTGTTGTGTGTTGTGTGTTGTGTGTTGTGTGTGTGTGGTGTGTGTGTGTGTGTGTATTGTGTGTGTGTGTGTGTGGTGTGTGTGCGTGTGTGTGGGGTGCGCATGCGTGTGCGCGTGCGTGTGTGTGTGTGTAATTATGTGTGGGTGTTTGCGTGTCTTTGTGCGGGGTGTTGTGTGTCTGTGTGTGGTGTGTGTGTGTGTGTCTGTTTGCAAAGCGGAGGGTGGGCCGTTTTGCCTTTGACATTGGAAGTGAGTTGGTTGGATGGAGCTGGTCAGCTGGAGGCGTTCTCCGCGCGGCTTCTGCACGTGGAGCTTGCCAGGCACAAACAAGTGCTGACAGCTTCAACCAGGGGGGCGGGTTGGTGGCCTGATGGTGTCCCAGTGGTGTTGTTGCAGTGTCTGGGTGTCTTGCAGCCCTTCGGGCCCAAGTAAAATTTGAAGCTTGGCGTAACATCTCGTCATGCATGTGCTGAAACTGACACTATATAGGCATCAAATGCCATGACATCGCTCTACATGGCAAATTCAGACACTCAGCGAAAGGCTCGGCAAGCCATTCTTTGGTTCGAAGAGCAACTTGCAAACAAGCAGCAACTCGCTGAGGCTGAGTTCACTGTAGAGAGTGTGAAAAGACAGGACGGCCACACAAAGAGCAAGAGAGTATCTTGCCAACCTGAGCACGAAAGCATATCGACTACCCAAAGGCTGCAACCTCCCAGAGTTTGTCAGACCCTGTTCTCTCAAATAAATAGTTGAAAGCGTTTGATTGAATTCTCACAGCTGGCCCGTGTTGAACAGACAAATGCAGCACAAGTTTCACAGTCAAGGCATGCAACGCCACGATGGTCCTGCTTGGACATCAATTTGGTCATGCAGGCAGCCGCTAATGCAAGGCAGGCATACCCTTCAGCTTTGCTTGCTTGGACATTTCAATCTGTTTTAGGTGAACATGGTGAACAAGACCGCAAAGTGGCAGCAACTGCTCCCAGGATACCCGGCAATCGCTCGCGTTTGGGACAAGGTGAGCCATTGCTTTGCACGGGCGTCATTGGGATACACTGAGGTCCCAGTTGACACCGCATCCCCAGTGTGGCCTAAAGCAAAAGCCTCGGTATGGCTGGCACCTGGGGCATGAACCATCATGAATCGGCTTCACAAGGCCCTTCACAAAACAGGCCCTTGATGTTTGAGGCGCCCGAGGTGCGCTCGCGTTTCAAATTTAAAGAAATGAGAGCAAACAAACCTGGATACTCCATTCTTGGCGCACCCCTGGCAACTCAACAACTCTCAGTTCGGCGGATTCGTTGTCACGTTGCCATGCGTTACCTTCGTCACTCGGCACTTGGCTGACATCACATCTCTCGCCCAAGCGGCCGCACACGAAACTCCGCAATCAGCTTTGTGGGCTCCTTCGTGGCCCTCGTGCGCCAAATGGACCGCAGGTAGTGGGCTGTTTGCTTGGCCAGCCTGATGCCTGGCCGGCACAAGGAAGCTGCTTGGTTTTGGACAGGGACGTGCGGAGACGGAAGCGCTGTTTGGCTTTTGAAGTTGGCATGTCTATCAAGCCTACTTAACCTATCTTAACTTTGCACATAGTGCTGGTCATTGACCTCCTTCTTGGTGGGCATCCTGTTCTAAGCTTGTCGGAGACACGATGCCAGGAAAACCCATGCATAGAGGACATACCTCCCCCCCCCGCGCGGGGTCATCTCAGCAAGCTGTTTAGCTTCCAATCCAACTCCGCCATTTGCAAGACATAGTATGAGGCCCGGTTTCCCATGAGCATCACCAGCAACCGCTGCAACACCGCGAGGCTACAGGCTGTTTGAGGGCAATGTCCTCGAAAGGCCATGGACGTTTCGCTCTCTCATGGGGCCTGGGGGTAAGCCCAAAAAAGCCCAGAAAATCGCGAACAAACACGATGTTTTAGGCAGGGTACGACATTTTTACAGGTTCTTGAAGCCCTAGGTACATAATGCTGTTAGGTCCTCCCCAGCGCCCATGATCCTGCCTCCACACATCCAAAAGAGATATATCACGATCGGCAGCTGCAGAACCGCCAGTACCGTTTTGCCTTCATCACTGAGGATGGCCATCGCAAGTTTGAAAACGCACTGCTGGCTATTCAAGTCACACCCCAGCGCCGAAAAGTGACAATGCGACTTGTCTGCCAGTGTCGCTTGAACATCATTAAACGCAAATGCTGCATCTCCATGCAGACTCTTTCATACGAAAGCGTCTTTGTTTGCTCATGCTGCCTGCCTCAAGATGCCATCTTTCTATCAAAAAGGGCTTGAGCCTGCATCTGGTCTGCTTTTTTGACTGCTTTTTCGGCGACGATTCTTAGCTCGCCAACATGACTCCGATGGATATCAAGGGCCACCACCGCTTGAAGGCATGCAACGAAGCCTTGGTTGAATCAGGAAGCGCCTAGTTTGTGAGGATTCCTTTCATTTGTGGAACGTAGCAACAAATGCAGCAACCTATCCGCCTGCATGGTTGGAAACACAAGGGTCTGTGCCATTTTTAGGGACATATCGTTTTTGCTGGTCTGTACTCTGGCTCAATTAGTGCTCGAAGTCGTTACCAAACCGCATGTGTTCAAAGCTTTAGAGGTGCGGAATCACACATATCAAATGGCTGCATGGCAGGAATTGGTATGGAAGGAGGAATGTCCTCAATGTGCCGAACAATTTTCTGAGCGGAGACTCAGAAAGCCCCTTGGAGAAGGCAAAGCACACATCCAATCTGACGCCTGCCTGCACAGTTGCAGCGACTGCCTGGCAATCACTGCGGAGAGGATATAGTTTGAACTGATACCGAGAGGCTCCCTTGACCCAGAGTCCGATTGAAAATCATACTGACATAGAGACAAACTAAAGCCAGTGGAATCGGTGTTCAAGCTTACCGGACAGGACACCTATGGACACTTGCAAGACTTCTGCATGTTCTATCACAGCGCGATATTTGTCTTTCTCGCACGTCTGGTCAACTAGCCGCGTAGGTGTGCCTTCTGAATCTGTTGGCCCATAATGAGGCAATGGGATTTGTTTGAGCGATATTCACAGTCAACGAATCTCCTCAATCTGGATCACCGGATTACACTAGGAATCAAATCCGCTCTCAGACATGTTGTCATGGCCTTCATGGCCTTCAAAATGTCTAGGATCAGGGCGCAAGCTGGCTCGCGGTGCAGGTTGGCTCCGTAAAAATCACTGGGTAGAACGCCTTCGTCGTGGTGTCGTATTTCACGCTTCCATCTGGCATGACCATGTTACAAGCTCATCAGCGCATGTGCAAATTGATTTGAGATCCGCATTGACATCACTTCCTGGTGCGCATTCCGAATAGCCATGCCCTGCACGCATTCCAAGCACCGCAGTTTTCCACGGATCAGCAAAACTTTGCAAAGCAGCGTGACTTTCAGCAGCTCCCCACATGGAATCCGAGACGCCCAGACCTTGCAATTCACTCGAGAAAAGGGCCTGCCATGGGTTTTTGTGAAACGAACTCTGACCGCCTCTGGATTCTTTGGATTTTGGATGCAGAGAGAGCCACAACAAAGTTGGACAAAATCTGTTGGGCTTTGGATGCAGGGACAGCCAAGGAAGGTGACTTGCCAATGCTCGCCGCCGAATTCAGCTCCTGCGATGTGATGCGGCTGGAAGATGCCACATGGCGTCAGGAGATTCGTACCTGCCGTGGAGGATGGCGCAATGTTCTTGGCTCTTGTGCCAGGTGTCGTGCAGGATCTCTTGACACTTCAACTGACGTCCCAGGCTCCCGAAGCCAAGACTGGCACCTCGCTGAGGCAAAAGCAACTGAATCAATGTCTCACCCGAATGAGTGGCCCGAAATCGCCAGAATGGTCCAAGTGACCACTGACCGATGCCTAGCTGCATCCCCACCGAGCCGAAGATCTTCAGCTCGCAACGAAGAGACTTCCCCTGATCGTGCCAGCAAGTAGCCTCCCGGAGGCATCTATTGGGCAGAAGTGTTCGCCATGACGGATATGTGCCAGAAAATCCGGCTGTAAGAAACTACTCTTTTTCTTGCCGGACAGATCTCCAAAGTCTCTCGCCATGAACAGGTGATAGCTCGGACTATGAGGATCACAGAAAGGGACAGGTTTGCACTGCTCCCAGTAGGATCACTTCTCAGCTCCGAGCTCTCACTCTGGTTTGCTGAAAAAACAACTAGGTCCTCCAGTAGAGAGGTTGGAACAAGGGTACCCTTTTTTTGTAGTCTATTTCAGTAGGGGAACCCTCCCAACCAAGAAAGGGGAGAGAAGGGCACTGCTAAGCAACCTCCATCATGCATTCTGTCTCCGCAACACGACCAGCTTCGATCTTGCTCCACACGGTGCGCTGGGGTCACTCCAAGGATGGTGCGATGCAATGGGAAGCCGTTGGCTACGCAGCCAGTTGTTGGATCACTCCCATGATGTAGTGCCCTTCCTCCATTCCATCGTAGACAATGCCGCCAGTTTAACTATCTCTTCCTGGTCATCCTGGTTGGCCAATGTCATGCCAACCAGCATGAAGTGCGAGCCGGCATCCTCATCCTGATTGATACGCTACACATTCCACGACCTTCTTCCCGGAAAGGCTGCTGCTGGAGTCCCAATCGTCTACCTTCCACTCCAAGTCGTTCCTCAAAACTGAAAAAAGAACTGCACACATCCTGGCACTATTGCATGCCCCTTGAGAGCTTCCTTCCGGCTTGTCATCCAACTCCCCAGTGGCAATCTCTTCAAGAAGGAGCCTTCTGGCGTGCGGGAAGTAAAGGAGAATAGGGCTTCCATTCTCAGCTTCCCATGCGAAGGGTGTTTTGACAGCTTCGAGAACAGGTGCTTCGGTGGTCTGTCGTCAGTGCGGGCCGGACTGTCGGAGGTCGTTTTGTCGGGTTACAACATTTCAACGTGCGAGTGTCAAAATTCGCACCAGCACTGAATTCCCGCGCCGGCGTCTTTAAAAGATAATTTTGATATTTGGACTGCGGTTGTGGTCCCACAATACGCAAAGCAGCCGACCAGTCGAGGTTTGGACTTGCATGCCACTGGCGCTCATGGTTTGTCGCTGCTCTCTGGGTCCGCTGTCCCTGTCGCTAGCACGGTTGGAGATGAGGATTGTGGTGGTTTGAGTGCTGAAGAAGCGAGGCTGTGCGGATGTAATCTGACAACCCCCAGACCTCAGATATGTCGCGTGGGGAGCTATCATGAGAAGTTTCCATCATCCACCCTCTTTTGTTTCCCTTTCACCCTTTCATTTCCCGAGTTGATGGGCCAAGAGAAGTCCAAACTTTGTTTGTCACCAAGATGGTACACAAAGTGTAAAGGTCCGGAACTCAGGAAGTGAGTTGAGGAACACTGGCAATTATATCGCTCAGTCCATTTCCCCTTTCCCCCACCAACATGGCAGCTGTGCGATACATGGAAGATCAGTTTCGTCTTGGAAAAACCCCTTGTCAAGTGCCATGGCTGTGGCTCAAAGATAAAGAGCTGGCGTTACCCAGGCTTTCGTCTACCTGTCCATTTGCCAAGGGGCCATGTTGGGTACCATCTGAGCCGCAGCCCCATGGCATGTGACGTGGAACGCATTTGCAACGAGGACTTCTGCACGAGGCCTGGCTGCTGCGGCCTCGGCGCCCATGTCAGCCACAGAAAATCTCAGACCAAGCTGGCTGTCCAACAAATATCTGGGCCTGTCTTGTTTTTGGATGGTACCCTTTTTGGATGGGTTCCAACATGGAAGCCAAAGGGAAACCAACCTTTTTGGGTGGTTCCCCTGTTTTAAGACACCCATCTCAAACATCTGGTGCTGGCTGTTGTTGACCAAATCTGGCCCTACAGGACATGTGCCACATCCTGGTCGTGCCGAAGCTCAACCGTGTCTTGCTGAAGTGACTCTAAGCAACATAGACCTAGCCTGGCGTACCACGAAGCGGGAAACCCGGCCCCAAACAGCCCCGAGTTGTTCATGGCCCACTCGAGTGCATCTTTGTTTGGGCTACCCTAAAATAAGCCACAAAAAGACAACCACCATTTTGGAGGGGTCCAACAAGAACAAGAAAACAACAACTAAGAAACAAAAACTTAAGAACAAAGAGAAAAAACACCCCGCATGCACAGATCTGGGGTCAACGTTCCAGAGCTTAGCCGCCGGCGCGGAAGTCGAAGACCCCGACCTTCTCCGGCTCTGCAAGTGGGCTGCAAAACCTCAGCCGCAGGTTTCAAAGACCTTCTCCTAACTTCCATTTGCGGTTTTGTCCCCTGGAAGATTTGGCTGACCCTTGCGCAGCCTGAACGCCTCTTCTTGGTTCGATAGGGAATGAGGCTACAACCCATCGCTGAGTTGGTTTCCTGGGGAATCCCCAACCTTGGCCAGTGCATTCCCAACACCTGGGACGGTTACCTATCGCACCAGCAAGTTTTGAGTGCTTGACTTCCATTTGCACAAGTCCCCTGGAAAAATGTATATGTATATTTCCAGCAGTGATCGAGTCTCATTCAAACCAACAGATCTTCTGAAGCAAGTGAAAGCTAAAATTGCGAAGAATCCGGATGTTTCGGCCCAGCATGGCTAGGTCCGAGGTTAGAATAAGTTGGTACCCGATGTTTGTTTCTGTAGTCTATTTTAGTAGGGGAACGCTCCCAACCCAAAAACGGTAAAAGGGCACTACTGGGGGACCTAGATGGGGGAAGAGATCCGATTGATTCAGATTGTTTTGGGCCTAACTGACAAAGAAGCTGGATAAACGCGGTGAACAGGCAGGTACCCCGGAGGATGGCAAGAGCCCCAGGCGGGGCCGCCAAGTCAGGGTTTGCCACACAAAATGCAGCTGCCGAGGTCTTCAAAATGCCAAAGGTCGCGCTCATGAAACTACAAGGCCGGCTGAAAAGAATAAACTCAGTCCCAAACTTTGATTTGTCATGCTACCATGGGGATTTAGATTTGCTTGTGCTTCCCTTGGGGGCAAGTCAGCACACTCAATTCATTGTCATCATCATGTGTATGACCAGAACTGATTGATTCCATTTCTCGTCACGCTGAACCCCTATTTCCCAAAATAAGAGCCTGATACAGCAAGGCCTCGCTCAGTCTCTAGGACCAACTAAGCTGAAAGGGTCAAACGGGAGTGGATCCCGTGAATTGAGTGCACACTCAGGCGACGGCAGCCCAGACTCCTTGCCTTAGATCAGCTGAATCGACTATGCCATTGGCCTTTGAACTCAAGAGCCAAACAGCTTTGTGACTCGACGCTGGCAGCAACGATCTCTCTCTCTCTCTCACAGTGCTATCCCGCAGGTAAGAAATTAGGAACACTTTTGGCGCAGGACACTCTGACAAGCAATGAATTGCTTAGCTTATTCTTTGTTGTTGAACACATTGAGCATTGCAGTGCGCCGGTGCCCGGCGACATGCCCGACTTTTCCCGGACCCAGCTGGCTGACTTCCGACCCACGCGTGTCTTTATAAACTGGCTGAGCCCGGGAAGCAGATCTAAGACTGAGCCACCAGTCGAAGCAGCAGCCTGCAAAAGGAACAGCTCTCCGTAGCCACCTGGCGGACGAGCCCTCCCTTCTCTCACCTTGGGGAAGTTGTGACATGAAGCTGCTGAACGTCGATGATAACAAGGCCCGTTTATCACTTCAAAGTCAGAGTCGGGCATTGCATCAATGCGCCTCTGTGTAGCAGCGAACCGTTTGGGGTAGAATATGGAACTGCCCCGTCCAGCTTCCCTTTGCAAGGATCGAAGCCAGCTGTCCACATGTTCATGCAAATGCAAATTACATGTCCATGGGCCAAGATTCAACAGCTTAGCCTTCTTCGAGCAAAAAGGGGCCTGTATGCATGCGTGTCTGCTTGTCTGTGTGCCTGCTCTGTCAATATGGGTGTGGCTCAAAATTTAAGAGCTAGGGTTACGCTGTTTTAGTCTTGGTTCCATTTGCCAAGGGTGCCATTTTGGTACATATTTTTGAGCCACAGCCATATGGTTCAATGTGTCTGTATGTCAGTATGTTTGCACGTCTGTGTGTGTGTGTGTCGCTTGGGTGTGAAAGTTCAAACCAACGACTCGACTGCCCTATCCCCCTCCAACATGCTTCAGCACATTTTCTGGCTGCCTCTCTACAGAAGATGCACACCAAGCGCAGGACACGAAAACACTCAGGCTTCTCAAATGGGTATGTAGCCTGGAGCTAAAGGCTCCCGCGCAGACTCTAGCCGACTCTAGCCATCTCTAATCCAATTCCTGACTGAACAACCCGAACATTGTCCCACTCGCACAGGCTGTGGCTGGGACAGTGACAAAGGCAACACATGCTTGCCATCGCCACAAACCTCTGTTTGAGAAAACGTGCAAACGCAATTCCAACCAGCAACTCATCCGTGCTATCTTTAAGCTTCTTCCTTCTTAGACATGCTTTTTCCCGGGGGGACCTCTGAACGGAATCTCAGTTTGTTCAGCTCCGGCGCTCAAATTCCCATCGCTCGCATTTCGACGGAGCTACACCGTGAACTGCTCGCCCTCCCAGAGGCCGTGCAAGTTGCAGAAGAGCCTCGGATCGGATCCCCGTCGAGCGGAGCCGAGTCTCCGTGTTGTGACTTTTTTGTCTGCGCCTCCATCGGCCGAAAAGAAACATGGAATCCCCACACTCCACGTAGGTATAATACACACATATATATATATATACATACACCAACATGTCGCCCGATTGCAGGGTAAATGTGGGTATCTATTGCCTACATGCATGGGATGGCCTTGTTTGTTGTTCCAGTAGTGGTAGATTCCCTTTAAAACCAACAGGCTGTACAGGGGATCATGAATAAGAAGACAACAAATTACTCGTATAATAAGACTTGGACAAATATAGTTAATATCATCAGCATAGGAACAATCATAATAGTAACAATGATGATGATAGACAAGCGTTTCCAGAAATGTAAGTAAGAACTTGCCTCCTAAATGACAACGCGATTTCCAGTAATGATAGATCCCCTTTCAAACCACCAGGGGAGATACAATACACATAATGCTAATGATGAAACAATTCAGGGGCTCGCCTAAAACGAGAGGCCCAAATGAAAGTCGTGATAGATTCTCTGTAAACCTGCACAATACGAAGAAGTGGCCTTCCATTTGGGTTAGACCCCTGGAAAACTAGACCACGGTTGGCCCGAAAGCGTCACAGCCCGGCGATCATTCCCGCGCAAGTTTTTTGCTCGATGTGGTCACGAGCAACACACAGCAACTAACCTTGTTCCTGCTATCTTGCCACCTATCGGACCCCCCCTCACACGAGTTTGCCAAGCATGTCAAAGATGACACATATACCGCCCGCGAGCAAAACAGTGACTACAACGCAAGTGACTCTCATGATGACTCTGTGCAATGACTCTCATGATGATTCTGTGCAATGACTCTCATGATGATTCTGTGCAATGACTCTCGCGATGACTCTGCGCAATGACTCTCGTGATGACTCCGTTCAATGACTCTTGCGTGATGATTCTATGCAATGGCTGTCACGATGACTCTGTGCAATGACTCTCATGATAATATTTCTCCCAACGGAACACCTGACTTTTGGTCTGCCCAAGTTGCCCTGCGCTAGCTGCTATGTGCAAGTGCTCTGTGCAATTTGCTTTGCGCAGGTTGCTCTGCGCAAGCGGCAGCGCTGTGTGCAAGTTGCTCTTACTAGTTTTCTGATTGAAAAGTTCCATTATGCTGTACTCCGCGTACTACAGTTGTACTTAAAAGTTGCGCTTAAAAGTTGCGATTTTCCAGCTGGAGCTGCGTCCGCGTACTACGTTTGCACTTAAAAGCTGCGATTTCTGTCTGGAAAAGCTTCCGCGGACCAGGCGGGGATCGACCCCGCGACCGCGCGACTCCGAGAGCAGCCGCACAAACCACGCGACAACTTCCAAAGACCACTTCGCAAGCAGCAAAGCCGCACGGCGCCACAGCGAGAGCGCTTCAACACGCACGATCCTCGCAGAGGGTCGCGCGAACATATTCAGAATCGAAAAACCCTCAGTTTTTGCACATCGACCACGCCGATTCCCGCAGAGGGTTCATCCTGCAATGTCAAAATCGCAAAAAACCCTGTTTTTTGACATCAACCACACGAATCTCCGCAGAGGGTCGCGCGCGCACCGCTGAAATCGTAAAAAAGTTCTCAGTTTTTGACCTCGACCACACGAATCTCCGCAGAGGGTCGCTCGCACGATCAGAAATCGTAACAAGTCCCCAGTTTTTTGGCCTCGACCACAAGAATCTCCGCAGAGGTTTGATTTTCGTAGGGTGCTGTCGGCCCTACCCCGCCGCCCTAAGAAGAGAAGAAAGGAATTTAAAACTCGTTATGAGTGAGAACTCTCATGAGCATTGCTCCTCGCCAGTGACTCTCATGAGCATTGCTCCTCGCCAGTGACTCTCACGAGCATTGCTCCTCGCAAGTGACTCTCTGCTATGACTCTGCGCAATGACTCTCATGATGATGATGACTCTGTGCAATGACTTTGATGATGATAACTCATTGCAATGACTCTGATGATGATAACTCTTCGCAATGACTCTGATGATGATGGCTCTTTGCAATGACTCTGATGATGATGATGATGATGACTCTGTGCAATGACTCTGTGCAATGATGATAACTCTTTGCAATGACTCTCATGATGATGATGACTCTGTGCAATAGCTCTGATGATGATAACTCTTTGCAATGACTCTCATGATGATGATGACTCTGTGCAATGACTCTGATGATGATTGTTAACTCTTTGCAATGACTCTGATGATGATAACTCCCATGAATCCAACGGAAGAACCCTTCGCCATGCTTTCGGGAAAATAATTCCAGTAGTGATAGATTCCTTTTAAAACCAACAAGGGAAAAGCAAATAAAACATATTCGCTTCAGCAAATGGAAGGGGCACAAATGTCTTTGAGCCAAATTGGAACCCCTGCGACGTTTTTCCCTTTAAACCTCTGCATACCACGAAGAAAATACACACCTTTCTTTGAGCCAAATGGCACCTCCGAGGTTTTTCCGGCCATAGATTCCTTTCACATTCGTTTGAGCCAGTTGAACCCTACACATTATGTTTCGAGGTTTTTCCCTTTCGCCGCGGCGCATGGGCTTGGCAGTGGTGCCTTTGGCCAGAGACGCCGTGAGCGTCGGGGGGGACCCATCCGTGGCCTGAAAGGACTTCACCGCCAGCACCTCCCCGGAGGAGGCGTCCTGGGCCAGCCAAAGCGGGGCGAACTGAGGGAAGGGGGACGACGACAGTAGATCATATGGCATGGGTCAAAACCCCGGTTAGCCCCCAGTGAACATCCCAATCCAACCACAAAAATGGGTGGTGCACCTACTCCAAATGGTACCCACAGCCATATCCTGCGAGTTGCAATCAAAACCCGGTAGGTATTAAACTGCTCGGGACCCCAGAACCATGCCTCAAGAATCAAGAAGGCGGATATCCGCAACTGTGTCTGGCGATTGTCCCTTAACCTTCATCTACCCGGGTTTTGATTGTGGTTCATGTGGCGAACACCTGTGGCCTTCAAATAGTTGGAGACAAACACACAAAAAAAAATAGAATACATGTTGTGCCTAAGTATTCTATGTGTTGTAAATTTCCTAAATAAGGGGGGGGGGAATTCCCTTCAGGGCGGGGGGCCTTATCCAGGAAGAACCTCCCATGTTAAAGGTCCATGAGCATACCCACAAATAGCTGCCCCGAAAAGAGGCGGCCTTTGTAAATTTAAAGAATTGGCAAAAAACCGCAAATATGGATTGCCCCGAATGCCAAGTTGGAAGAAAACCTGGGGTCCATATCTTCGTGTAAAATTTTAACCCATACCCTTTTCTGACGGGCGAATACTCAAAATCCCCCGTGTGTACGCGACTGAGTCTGCAGAGATGTCATTTTGCCCCAGCTCAAGCTAGCCCAGCGGCCGCAACCCAAATGTACTGGATGTAGTGCGGCTTTTCCTGGTGAACCGGCATTGGGTTACGCATCAACATCACGGCGTCCGGACGGTAGAAAACCCTGCCATGCCTCACAAAAGCACCACCCCCAGAACTTGGGTGGTACCCACTGTTGGGGAAAACAGTCACCTTTTTGAGCCCGTTTAGAGACACCCCCCCCCAGAAATCATGCTCTAAAGCTGGCCGTCAAGTTGTGCACGCCCCAAAATGGCACGTGATGCTTCTCGCCTTGTCCATGACATGGGGCACGACCACGTCCACGGAAGCACCGGTGACTGTCACCTTGGGGATATGTTTCTCAGGCGCCCCGTTGTCGTTCGGCGTGGGGTCCTGAACATATTGCAGGTCCAGTGGCATCCATATTGGCAAGCAATTTCCTCTCTCACAAAACCATCCCAACAATTCACATGGAACATCATGGAACCTGACAGAGTGGGCCCTGGAAGACCATTCTCCTTTCAAAGGGACCCCCTGTCACGTTCCACGTTAAGATTGGTGGGAGGGTAATTGGCCAGCAAACCGGCATGATCTTTGCGAGTGATGTCATCCTCCTTGCCTGCAATCACCTGTCTGCGGCCGACATCTGTCCTCTTTCAGCAGGCTCTTGACCTTACTCTTCATGTCCTGCGGCGCCCGCGAATGAACACTCGGACTTTCAAATAGGCGACCTGGTATGTTGCACTACCTGCAAAGCCGCCCAGCTCGGCCCGAACAGAACCATGTGCCTTCAGCCTTGGCCCCTCCCCAAAATCGCATACACTGATGACAAGGCACGCAAGCTCCAACCCGACCCGCCCCCCCCCGGGCCCCCCAGCTCCTCCGCTTCCGCAGCAGAGGCGCCCGATGCCAGGACCGCGGCTGTGAGCAGCGCTTGCTTCCGCGAGACCTGCGGACCTCTGCCCTTGACTCAGGCGTTGGTCCGAAAAAGTCTGGACTTTGACCACATCTTGTTGTGAAACCACCCTGAGTGGTTGGAAATGAGGATACATGCTCTGGGACCCATAAAAGGTCACACCCAACTCAGTGCGAAGTGGGCTCAGTCCAAAGACCACCTTGAACTGTCAAGCCCTTTGGACACACCGGGTTGGTCAATTCAGCAAAAGTCCTGGTCCCTGGTCCTTTTCAATAAGAACCCCGGAATGCTTTGATTTATAAACCCCGGGTTGACTTGCCAATAGGGGTGTGTGTTAAAACAAGACCTGGTCCTTTTCAGCGGGCCCGGTGTTTGTTGATTCTCTGTGGCGAGGTGTTCCCTTTCAGTGTGGGTGGTGCATCACTTTGGAGGAGAACGATCCCTATCAACAGATGGGTTTGTATGCACTGCGAGGCGATTCCTGCATCGCTATGTAAATAACGCAGTCAAGGAGAAGCCGCGAACACACTCAAACTACAACTTTCCTATTGCCCACCAGATTATGCGAATGTATGTGAAGGCGTCAAGATAGGGTGACCGGGTCTCAAAATCCCAAAGCGGTTTTCCTTTTGGTCTCCGTTCCCATTTGATGATTTGTTTTTTGCTTCTTAACACAAGTTTTCCTTTTGGTTTGCCTTCACATTCTTTGTTTGCTTCTAAATTTATTTAAAATTTATTTATAAAGAAGACACACAGACACAAGCAAACCAAAAAAAACAACTCGCAGACAAAAGAAAAACAGAAAAGGACAAACAACAACGTGCCACCCCATCCGCTGGATCGATCCGATCCTCCGCATTGAGAGCCAATGAGCTGCTGGCACTCCGAGGACTGGCGCGTGAAACAGCTGAAACCCTTGCGGGAGTCTCTCGCTTTTTGGGGAAGGAAATCGGACCTGATCTCCAAGATAGCGCGCGTGTTTCCTTTCTTTTCCTTTTTTTCCCCCCCTGGGCTTTCCTGTTTCCGCAACAAAGGCCCCTTTTGTTTGCCTTTCTTTGGGCCTTTTTGTCGTTCTTGGCAATGTCTTCGATTTTCGTTGGGGCTTTGATTTTTGTTGTCACAAACAAGCCCAAGCATCCCCACTTCTGACACACCGGGTCTCCAAGATGGCACTTTGTCTCTTTCTTTGGGCTTTCCTTTTACCAGAAAGCTCAGATATCCCCAACAGCCTGCCCCAGAAACCCTTTTCAACCCTCCGGAAGCCTCTTCCGAAAGCCCCAGAGTCGCTCTGGGCCTATGGACCCCCATAGCTTTCAGCTGATAAAGGGGTAGCCTCAGCCAAAAGACACGCCCAGCTTGCAACAAACAAAACAGGCGGATTCGCCTCGCCTCGGCCCGGCGCTGCTGACAAAGCTGATCGCTCGCCTTGGACATTGCCACTGATCTTTGAACGGGTCTCCGAAGCAACAGGCAGCCGCAAACTCTGCTTGATAGAGCTTCAGAAGTCTAACACAAATGCCCTGCCATTGGACGTTGCTCCGGTTGCTCTATGGGCAAATTTGGGCTCACATGCCCAAATTTGCAGCTCAGGCTCCAAGGATGCAAGGCTGGAACATGTATCCCAGCCCGAAGGGACCTCGTCAATTGGTTGCCAGTGCTTATCATTGCTATGAACCTCCCAGGCGCGGCCCCTGTCCCGAGTACTTTCGACTTCGTGACGGCTACGGTGAAGTAATGTACGAACAATGGGCACGAACGGTCATTAGCAGGACACCAGCCAACAAGCCCTTTCAGTCGCTTTCAGCCGGCTTTATGTAAGTCCTTGTGCCGCACGGTGAAGCCAAGTTTGCACCGAGCCAAGTCCATTGGAAGGCGCATTCACAATCAAGCAGCTCAAGGCGCACCCAGCTGTGCTTCGAGTGGCCCGAAGCGATTTGATTTTGGCACCATGCCGAGCCCCTTTCACCCCAACATCGCCAGGCGCCAACTTCTCCCAAGTCACAAGGCGCCCAGAAGCAGGGCCAACAGCACCAGGCGAGTCCCGCGGACCTTGGGAACGAGAGCCGACAGCCTCAAACCCTGCGAGCGTGGTGGGCACCGTTTGGCCAGCGCAGGGCTTATGTCAAGTAGCAAGTTGGGCGTTTGATACGCATCTCTCCTCGCTGGTCGAACTTGTCCAGATTTGTCAAGGCACACTTTAAGCTTACATGCGTGCCTCTCAGAAAATGCCAACTGTTGCCTTTTGCAGGTTTCCCCTTACCCAGACCGTTGAATGTGACAATGCACACCTTGCACCGAGTGTGACGCTCATGCATGCGTATGATGTCCGTTGCAAGCCTCAAACCGACGTGATTCTTGTAGGGCTTGCAGGCCAATTGGCTGAGCAAAGGGTCACCCAGTCAGCAAACCTTCTTGGCTGCGCCTGGTTCGCCTCCTTATTCAAACCGCAAATTCAAATGACGAGTGCCAATTAAATGCTTCATTTATTCAAGCACTGCAAACCTTCTGGTCCCCACATGTTTGGAACAACAAGTTGGCGTGACACAGGTGCCATTCAACCCAGGGCGACATCCGCGCGCTTCACCCAGGTCTTGCCGCCATGCCACCCGAGACGTAGGCATTGTCGGCACCTGGTAACGCCAACCCCGACCAAGCGATGGCATGGTGAACGGCACGAGGCATGGTCACACTGTGCTTAGACAAAAGAAAGCAACTGCACAATTGGCCATGGGTCAAGAGCCCGTACCCGTAGTGAACATCCCAATCTCCACTAACATAGTCCAAAATGGGTGGTGCACCTACCCCAACATGATACCATTGGTTTTGACCCACAGCCAATTGAACTCTGTAAAGTATGTCTCTTTGTGTGTGTGCGCGCGTGCGCCCAACATGCCCACTGAGCTCTTGATGAGGCTGCAACTATTCATGATTAATGGTGAGGACTAAGACAAGGTAGCAACCATTGCAGCTGGCCATCTCGTGAGAGACCAATTGTTTAACTAGGTCCTCCAGTAGAGAGGTTAGAATAAGTTGGTACCCTTTTTTTTCTGCAGTCTATTTTAGTAGGGGAACCCTCCCCGAAAAAAGGGGAGAGAAGGGCACTACTGGGGGACCTAGTTGAGCCATCGGCTACCGCCCCGGCTCCTGCCCCACCCAGCCTGGTTGCCCGAGGTGGCAGCGATAAGCTTCCGGAAAGCTCAGCAAAACAGCTGTGGGCCGAGGCAGGGCTTTTGCCGAACGGGCGCGCCAAACGGGGCAGGGGGGGTTTGCCGAGGTTGCAGAAGGAGGTAGCAGAATACCATGGACAGTTACTCAGTTGCCGTGGCACACAACCCTCCCATGCGACCACATCGCTTCATGCGACATGTGCCATGAGGAAAACTCCGTGAATCTAGGAGCCACGCCAGCATGCTATGATGTACACGGCAGCCTTGTCACATTCATTTCGATTGGCCTCAAGTAATTGTGCCGTTCTGCGTTGAGATTGAAGTAAGTGACCAGTGTTTTGGAGCTTCCTGAACCCGCAAAAGGACCCGTTTTTCTGCCTTTGTACCCCATTTTTATGTCGAGGCACCAGAATAGAGGGGCCCTTTTCAGGTTTTAGGAGCTTGTTCTGCAGTTCTGCATACCATTTTGCGTCTTGGTCACATGGGCCTGAACATACCCATTGCCAATGCTGCCCGACTAGGTGCCGATCTGGTGAGGTCTAATTCGTCCCAGACTCCAAGGGTTAAGAACGTTGTGATCTACTGAAGTTGGATGCGCTTACGAGCGTCAACATATACTCACAAATGTATGTTGGCGGAACATGGCGGAGCTATCAATGAGGTCCTGAACGTGAATTCGCCTGAATCGCTCGTACGCCGGGTGCAATTTTCAAACTTCAGTTGGAACCTCGCAGGCATGGCACCCCGGGCCTTTGTTTTTTTCTGAGGGCACCCTTTGGGTGGCAATTCGAAATGCTGGAAGAGGAACGACAGCAGCGGAAGGAAAAACCACCCCAAACGCCGCACCAAAAAGCACCGAAGGCCTCCCAGCACAGCTTCTGCGACTCCAAATCCCATAGCTTCACCCTGGCGACATGCGAATGCCAGCCGCAGCCGGAAAGAGCTCGCGGCTCGTCTTTCTCAAGATCGGCTCGTCTGTTTTGGGGCTGCATTCCCAGAATGGCACAACGGAGCACCAGATTTGTTTAATTCAAAATATGTATCAGTTGTTTGTTTTATGCATATGTGTGCCTTTTGGTTCCCCTAAAAAAAAACGCCACGACCCAAAAGTGGTGCCAACAACAGACAATATCGAGGAATCGATCCATGTGCAAAACATGACTCGAAATTCAGCTTGGTCTCCCTTCAAATACCGAAAGGGTCCAACATGAGAAACTCCTTGCTCCTTTTGCCGCGAGAAGCGGCGGACCTGTTACACGATCTTGCACGTGCTTTCAGTTCCAGGTTGAAGCAGGGCAACGCTGTTGGATGATGCCAGTGAAAACCAATCCAACAAAACTGGAATCGAAGACCGCTTTCCACAAGCAAATTGAGAGAGAGAGCGAGAGGGCAAAAGTTCGCCGGAAATTAGAGACATTCCTTTCGCTTCCCTGAGCCGAGTGACTCAGCGAAAATCCCTTTGCATTTCCGATACTTGTACCCAGTGAGCAGTATGGGTCTTTTTCTTTGAGGGTACCTGTTTTGGGGTTTCGTTTGTGGGGACACCAAAAGGAAATGCCGGGCAGTACTACAGCCAATTGCGACATGCTCACAGCCTAATTATTTCAGTCGAATCCCCTTGAGTGCGAATCAGCTGCAAACATAAACCTTCACGTGCTTGGTCAGCAACTGCGGCTTGATGTGACAGGGCTGTGTCAGGGTCGCCCTTGGTGCAATTCCCTTTCGCCCATTTGCCGCGGCATCAGAACTGAAGGGCGGACCCACCCGACAAAAGCAAGACCAACAAATGGCTAAGTCAGGAGAGCTGCTGAGAAGTGCTGCAACAGAAAGGGCCTACCCCCAAAGACTAACCCCATATAAAGGGGGAGAGTTCCTTGTATCACAGTGGGGATAAACCCTTGTGATCCCACAACCCTGACTAGGTCCTTTAGTAGAGAGGTTGGAATAAGTTGGTACCCGATTTTTTTCTGTAGTCTATTTTGGGTTGGAACCCTCCCAACCAACAAAGTTGGTAGAGAAGGGCACTACCGGGCGACCTAGCTGAGCAGCACCACGCGTTTCAGCTTCAGGAGGCAAAGCCCAGCGCCGCAAGAAGACCAACTCAGCAACTAGGAATGTACAGATTGACTCCCCCTGCCATTTTCGTGTATATTATATACAAAAATGTATCGTACATATATATATATGTATGTATGTATGTATGTATGTATGTATGTATGTATGTATGTATGTATGTATGTATGTATGTATGTATATGTACATGCATATGTATATGTATATACACATGTATATATACATCTGTTTGGTCTTGATGTTAGAGGGTCGGCAAATCATGTTGCACCCCGCTTCCGCGCCTGCCATCCTTGCCTTGACTCAGGCACTGAGACGTCAAACTGTGTACGGAAAGCACCTCAGCAGAACAGCGGCAACCGTGGATGACTCTCAATGACGCAAATGTCGCACTTCAAAGCTCCTGGGAAACATATCACGCGGCCGAGGCAAACTCTTTGGAGCCAAAAACTGCATGCAAAAAAACACATGTGAAGCATGCATCCGACTGAGTCCACAAGGGCTAAGCTTTTCAAAACGGACCAAGCAGGCGAGGGGCAAGTGATGCTGGTTCAGGAAGAAAATCGCCACTGGCTTGGCCCTATCAGGCCCTATGAGCTTTCCTCTGATTGGTGGTTTGGATTGGTGGTTTGGTGGTTAAGGAGGGGTCTCCCATGTCTACAAGAACCAGAAGATCAACTCCCCAGCCCAACCACCAACTCAGGGGTGCCTGATCCTAGGCACCAACAGAAACACTTCATGGCGGACGAGCTGTGAGCGGCAAGCGCGGAGAGCGGCCGTTTTTTGGGCGACCATCTTCAAACAAGTTTTTAAAAGCGCCCCACCGATTCGCATGGAACCTATCGTTTCGGTGTCCAGGAAAACGTGTTCCTAATGGACCCTCGGATGGGTTCCATGTGGATAGGAGGGCCTAAGCTTGGAGCCTTCTTTGAGCTCACGTTCTTGCCGGCTGCCAGGGTTCCCCATTCCCTTTTAAACGTCACCCCCTTTTAAACGTCCCCAAACTCACTTGTGGCTCCAGCAAAGCTTAAACAAACAAAAATCGCGGGAAGAAGGGGGAACCCTGCCAAATGTCTCACGATTCCCTTGGCATCAAAGGAAACTTGCTCGGCACTTGCCCCCCCTCAATGCGTCTGCCACCTGCCATGTGAGCTCCTGTGCAGTGGGCAGGCACCAACTGAGCTGAGAGTCACTATGCCATCAGCTGTTCACAAGGCTCTCCCACGCCCAAAATTGCTCCCAAAAAATGTACGACAATACCTTGATAAATGAAAACCAACACTAAAACCTGCGTAACCCCCAGGTCCTAAACTATGAGCCACACCCCACGCCCAAAACGAGCTGAAGAAACCCACCGGAGCTCTGTCACCATTGCAAACATATCGCCAGTGACCAACAGCGCCAACCAGCTCCAAGGCCCTCGGAACTTGCATGGCTTCAAGCAACCGGGCGTAATCAGCTCCACGCAGAAACGAGCCAAGCCCCTACAACCCCTCCCTGTTGCACAAGGTCCAACCCAGGCCCGACAGAAGCGGACCGCTCCTTGCCCACAGGCGTGGGAGTTGCGTGGCACTTGCCCACTTGTGCTGCGTAGCTGGGCGCGTCCTTCACCTGAGGGAACTTCCAACAGTGAAACTGAGCTGCTTGCCAAGTCTGGGCAAATCCAGCCACAAGACTTTCTTTTTCTGATTGCTGGCGAAACCCCTCTGCAACCAGTTTTAACTTTTCTGTGGGTCCAATTCGGAAAAGCGCACGGCTACCAAACAGTTCAAGTCCAAAGATCCGTTACCAAATAGATTCTGGGCTTCAAACGGGACAAGCTCAAGCTCTTAACCCATCCAGCTCTTGCCTCTGCTGCATGGTACGTGTGCTCCTTGGCTCCAGCCCCTGCGGTCATGGGCGCAAAGGAGCTTCCAGGAGCCGCATGGATGTACGACTGGCCCTGGCTCAAAGCAGTGCTCAGGATTTCGAAGGACCATTCCCTGCCATAAACGGCGGTTTCGTGGTCCCCCCTACCAGAAGGGGGGTGGTCCCCAATTCGATTGTTCTAGTCTTCCCCACAAAAGGGAGGGGGATGGGGGTCCACAATTCCAGTTCTCGAGTCTTCCCCTTAGGAAATGGCTCACCATAAATGGAGATCCCCAGGGGTCACCCCCCTCCCCCAATTCCATATTCAAGGGAGTGGGAATCTCAGCCACGAAGGACCTGTCCGTGACATATGGCCGGTCAAAAGCCAAATCGGTTAGCCCCCAGTGAACATCCCAATCCAACCACTAAATAAAAGCCTAAAATGGGTGGTGTTCACCTACCCCAAATTGGTACCATTGGTTTTGACCCACAGCCATACCAGTCATGGCCTTCCGTTAGGGGGGCCGAGGACTAAATCACTGCCTCACGTGCACCTTCCTTTTGCTGGAGTCTTCTTGGCAGTTCTCTTCGTCACTTCGCATGGAGAGGAGGTGATGCCCCTGGATTTGGAGGCCAAGGCACTGGGGATGATGCAGTGGGGCTTGTGTGTGCACCCGTATGTTCTCATCAACTCATAGAGGAGGCGGGATATTCGCTGCGGAAACCAGTGCCAGTGGGCAGTGTGCTGCTGTGGGGCTGAGACTGGGCATCGGGGCAATGAAGCAAGTCGAGGGCTGGGTGCGGGAAGGTTGTTCGGATATTCGTTTGGAATGGTGCTGGCGGCGGCTGTCATTGCTGGCAAGCATGCGTTCTTTACTTTAGCCTTTCACTTGCTCCCAGTTTGATGTTTCTTCATGGCTTTCCTACATGTACTAACCTGCTTTGCGAAGGCTGTGGTATGCAGGACCCACGCAAAAATGCAAGACAACAACAAGACTTGCGTTCGTCAAACAAATGCATTTGCATAAGGTTAACGGACTCCAGCTCTGACCAAAGGTTCAAGCTGACTCTGGGTCAAGCGAAGTCAGCGAAGTCAGTTGTCTTGCCAAAGTAACTCGATCGATTCCCACTCAATGCTTTCCTTTGTTTCAAGGACAAAGCATAGCTTGCATAGCTTGCAGCTTCCGCATGGGGATTTCCCCTCACAGCCCACTCGGCTTCTCTCCGGTGCCTGGGGGCATGGGGCGTCGGGATCCCACACCACCAGCTGACCCTGCTGCGCTGTGAGGCCTCCTGAGGCGAAGCCCCGGGTCGCGGGTAGCCCTCAGCAGTGCCAGTCATCTGCGACAATCTTTGTGGCCAACCACAAGCGCAGAGCTATATACCTACGATATCGTAGGATGCGACCGAGATTTCCCACCTGGGCTTTGTATGTAGAGCCGTGTCAGCAAGCGGGGTCCTTGGCCAGATTCGAAGCACTTGCCGGCCAGATCGTGCGCGTTGCCCAGGTCGGCAAAGGCCGTCACCAGCAGCGATTTGGCGGCAGCCAAAAGCACCGGAACTTCCATGGCGGGCAAGCGGGCCAATCAAAGGGGCGAACACATGTCACATGATTCTCCTATGTTCATGCGCTTCGCTTGGTTTTGTCAAGTGCCCTGGTGGCTCCTGTGCTGTCGCTCCCCCCAGAAGGGCCCCAGAAGTAAGAGACGTTCCACTTTGGGCTGACACATTGCTGAACAATTCTGGCTTGCAGCTCTTTAGGCATCAGCCCTTCGAGCAACCGGGACCTCGACGCTCAGGCAAACAATGGTCATGACGGAAAGAGGGGCACGCGTCTGGCAAGGTGAAGGAAGGGGACTCCAAGCCTTTGCTCCAGGCCTGGCACGTGAAGTGACCAGGGAACATGTTGGTGAACCCCTTCCGAACCTGGGGGCCAGAAACGCTCCCATTAGAACAGGGACCAAGAAGAGACGAAAGATGGGACCAAGCAGAGACGAAAAGGGCCAAATACCGCGGGCGAAAGAGACAAGTCGGAAAGAGACCAGTCGGAATCTTCCCTTCTTGCTGGGCTTGCGGCTGTTTGGTCTGCCACAGTCCATGTGGATGCCTGAGAGATCTGGAGACACTGCGGGGGTCAAGTTTTGTCCGGGGAGCGCTGCCGGAGTTGGACAGTATGAATCCCAAGCCAACAAACATGGATTGAAAGGTGAAACATTGGACAACACCGCACAGAACCAAATGATTCTGCATCTCCATAATGCATACATACATATATGTAGATACAAAGGGAAAGAGCGAGGTAGAGATATTATATAGATATAAAATCGACATATAAACATATTCTACCCACATCCACGGATAGCTGAGAACAGGTGAATAGGTGTGCACATGTGACTATGTCTTACGAGGGGCCTTGCCCCAGAGCGAGATTTACACATCCAGTCCCGGGATATCAGACAAATGAAGGTGCCGGGAGTAGAGACCTAAATCCAGGATTGGCCGGGGTTGGCATGTCTGCATTCTGCATTTGGAATCGTGAAATGGAATGGCTCCCTGTGCAAAACCAGACTCAAATGGCTTTTGTGCACTGCAGTCTTAAACTGACTCAAGGCCCTTCTTCTGGACCCACGATTCTGGGGATTCTTCCTGGACAATTGTAAGCCTTAAATCCAGGAACTTCAATCTGTTGTTTTTGTGTAAGGCGTACCCCAAATTCAGCTTATGGTGTCCAATTTCTGAAATTTCAAAGGGTTTCTGGTATGCCAGCACTTTTCTTTTGCAATGTGTTTCCTGAAGTTGTGGAATGGAACTGCTTTGTCCAACGCCAAAGGAAACTAGTTTCATATAATTAGTTGTTGGCCGGCACAAAGGACTGCAGGCCTGCACACCGTTGCTCAGAGCTGCTGCGCAAAACAATCTGCGCAGCGCGGTCTTTCTGCTGAAGTAAAGCAAAATGGGGGGGCATAGAACAAGACTTGTACAATATATGCATATAAAGTTGTCAATATAGAATGCATAGTTAGTGTACACCTACATAGATACATAGGCGCTGCTTTGCTCTGGGTCTCCCACCGGGCGTTGGTCCCGCAAGTCCCAAAGCGAAACCTGGCGCTGCAGCGCCGGTCTGCCAATGCCCTTCCACGGGAAACAGGGGGCTCTGTCAAACAAGTTCCAACAAAAACACACATGCTTCATAGGGGCAATCTTCAAGCTAAAGAATACTTTCGGAGTGTGACTTGTAAGCAGCCCAGCATGAATATTCCCTTTCCAGCATCAGTCCGCAAATGACAAATCAATTCTCGAGGCGCGTGACATCCGGAATCCAGATGCAACTTTGGACAGACAGTGGGGCGTGCTCAGCGCTCAGAAGAAAGGACATCTTGTTGAGGCGAATGTCGGTCCTTTTGCCGAACAGGCGGGCATTGTTCCCGACAGCTGACGGCTGGAAACGCGGTCAGCCCGAGCGCCTCACCGGACAGGCCTCCGCCTTTGCTGGTGGGACGCCGCCTTCCCAGCCCTAAACCAGCCGGCTTTTGCGTTGCTGGCGCAAAAAGTGTAAGTTTTTGTGGGTTTCATGGAAATCCTTGATTTTCCGAAAGTTAAAGCCTAAAGATTAACAGTCAAGTATTGAGTTAAAAGGCACACACAAAAACTACGGTACAACAACTATATCATTTGACCAAATGTTGACCATGCGCACCCATGCCCATGCCATACATCTAGTTCGGCCAGCGTGCAACTCAGTGCCCCATGAAATCCCAAACAGCAGGAGACACAGTTGTCTTTTCGATCCCCCCGCCCTGCTATTTCGGTCCCACAAACCAAGAGGCGCAGGAGAATCGTGCAAGGGTATTCGTTGCCCTGTGCGAAAATCCATGCAAATTTCAACCACGCCTATAAACCGATACATAACTGAAATCCTGCCACGTCTCACATGCGCCGACACGTTTCCGTTTCTGGGCGTTGTGCTGCCTGTCAAGCCGGTACGGGTATGCGGCGCTGGTCGAAAATCCGGCTGGGAAGTTGCGCTCGGCTGGACTCGAAACGTTGAACACTCCAACAAGCTGCTTTCTGATGTTGCGTGCTTTTACAGCGACGTATTCTTGCGGCAATCCTCAGGCCGTGCTTTCCTCCGATCAACTTTAGGCTGCTGCGTGCAATCTGCGGAGAAGCAAAGCTTTCGCGGCCGCCATTCCGAAGCTTCCGCGGCGGGCAGCACTAAGACCAGAAGGTCTTCCCCCTCATGCCCGACTACTAGGACCTTCCAAACAACTCCCAAGTGTCAAAAGAGGTGGCTCCCCCAAAATGGGTGGGTTTTTGGGTTTGCGTTCAACTAAGCCCAACAGAAAATAACACACACGCACGCGCACGCGCACGCGCACGCGCACGCGCACGCGCACGCGCACGCGCACGCGCACGCGCACGCGCACGCGCACGCGCGCACGCGCACGCACGCACGCGCTGCAGCGCGCGCCACGCACACACGCACCCGCACCCGCACCCGCACCCGCCCGCACAGCACACACACACACACACACACACACACACACGCACACACACACACACACGCACACACACGCACACGCACACACACCACACACACACACACACACACACACACACACACACACACACACACACACACACACACACACACACACACACACACACACACACACACACACACACACACACACACACACACACACACACACACACACACACACACACACACACACACGCCATCATTCTGTTTCCCTAACCTTCGGACGATCATGAGCAAGCTGCAAGATCGAGAAGATTCGCCCCTTTGAAAGAATCGACCCCACAAATTTGAGTGCATGTCAGCAAGCTGAACAACTGCAACTTTGGGCCGAAAAAGTAACAAAATCACATCCCCGCCAACCCCCGGTCTGAAAATTGAAGGGTACCGACTGAAAAGAACACCCACACCCGGACCCACACCCACTCACACACACACACACACTTTTCTCAGGTTGCCGCTGAGCAGATGGCTAGCGGAAGCCCAGCACACTGAGTAGATACCGCCTGGGCATCATTCGGAGGGGCGGTAGACTGGCAGAAGCAGAGGGGTGCAGAACGAGAAGAGCACATGGCGGTGGGTCAAAGAACGGTACCCAAAACGGAACCCCGGTAAATGGAACCAAGGACTAAAACCTGCGGTCCCCTGGGTGTTTAATTTTGACCCATACCTAAAAAACGAACCGAATCTGTGGATGACTTACACCTTTCACAATGTCTGATCATTTTCAAAGAGGATCACTTCTTCACTTTGCAGGATCGCATTTGCCTTTAGGTAGGCGAGGCGTATGTCTGGAGGCTCTCCACATCTGCTTCTTTCCTTCGCCTTTATCTGTTTGGGAACTGAGGTTCAGTTGCCCCTTAGAGACCTGGAATCAAAAAGGTTCACCTGAGAAGGTTTTCACCTTTTGGCACCCTTACTCAAACTGAACCCAACGGGGAAAGGTCAAAGGGTCAGATCCGGTCGATTCGCCGCTTCGCGGAGTGGGGACTGACTGCTCCGGGCTCGGGGCCGGAGCGGCTCCGCAGGATGGCCGCGGGCGCGGTCCTCCGAAAACTTCCGAAACGGTCGCCCACGACCGTGACCAAATGGCATGGGGGTTGGGGGGGAGGGAGGAGAGGGGGGGAGCCCAAATAAGCCCTTATTAAGCCCAATAAGAGGGGGGAGGGATGACATGGGTCAAAAGCCAAATCAATCCAAGCACTAAAATCGGTTCTAAAATGGGTGGCGAATTCACCTACCAATCAAAATGGGATGCTATTGGTTTTGACCCACAGCCATTTCCGACCTATGAATGTGGTGTGGCCGCCGAAAACGGGGGGCCCTGGGCAGATTTTCCATTGGATTTGAGTTGCAAGTTGGTTCCCTTGAAACAATCCCCACTTGTCCAGTGAGAGCCCAGGAACATGATACTTGCACATGTGAAGCACAAGGCCAACAAAATGGGATAGCTAAGCAGCTGGGCCTCTACGCAGCTAGGCTTACTCCCTGTATCTCGTCCTTCCTTTGGTTTAAGCTTGCATGCAGAATGCAAAACGCGTAAATGTCCGCAGCCACTGAACCTGTCCTCTAAATGGCATGGAACAACTACTGCACCTGTCTTTTGGGAGCGATTGACTTGAAGCAACGTGTACTACACCAGCTGTGTGAAGCAGAAACTTAAAGGTCTGAACAAGTACATGGAAGTCTGCTTGCCCTGCCTGTATATATATATATATGTATATATGTGTGTATCTCTCTCTCTCTCTCCATGTTCAGGCTGAGCGCAGCACATGAAGAAAGACCATCCGCGCTCAACGTCTTGCGTAACAACCTACAGGCCCTCGTATCCCCAGGCTGGAGAAGCGTTCCCACGACTTCGAGTAGCTGCAGGCCTACAACAAATGATCATTTTGTAAACTTGATCAACCAAAAAAAGCAAAGCACTAAAGCAAAGAGTCACGAAGGATTGATTACCTTCAGCCGTGATTGTTTTTGTAAACCCTCTGTTGGCATGGCTAGGTTTGATTGCTCGCCAGCTTGTGCACATCATTCGGGTCGGGCGACAGCCCCCTGAACCCAAAGCAAGCGGCATGCGAAACTTCGGCTGAAAAGTCCAAGGAATCGCCTGTAAATCATGACCAGTCAACACATTCCAGGTCCGCGACTGCCGATCAGCAAGGATGGCACCTGAATTTCTCACGTTTTTCCTTGGGGTGGTCAAACAAATACACGGGTCGGGGCTCGAAAACGCCTAAAGGTGCCCTTTTTTTCACGCGCAATCAGTCTCCCTGCCAGCAGCGGGAAAAGGCTTTGTCCATGCCGGCGGCTTCCTGAATTTTGAAAGCTGAAACGGCAAACTGAATTCAACCGGCAATCTGAATTCAACGGCAGCATTGCTCACAGGCATCCTTTGCCTTAGCCAACAGGCAAGCCGCAGGTTTCCATTGCATGGCCTGATGCATGCAAAATGAGAGAAAGACTAGAGCCAACTCATGTTGCCTCAAGAGCTTCCCAAAATACCACCAAACATATCAAACTTAGCTTAGAGAAAGCATTCTGGTGAGGGGGGGTAGCTCGTTTTTGCGGCCACGCGTATTCTCGAAAATTCGATGCACCGAGGAGCCCATGTTGTGGCAGCACCAGTGCTTTTTGGGCGATGACCAGCCTGTCTGCCAGCGGCTGATTCCCGCGTTGCAGTCGAAGGGCAGCTCTCCATGGATCGGAATCTGGACCTAGCCACTGTCCAAAACAAAAAGCCTCTGAAAACCAAAAGTGAGCTCGTCTTGTTGTTGGTGTTACCCCCAATAAACAAATGAATGAATGAATGAATGAATGAATGAATGCATGAATGAATGAGTGAGTGAATGAATGAATAAATGAACAAATGAATAATTAAATATATAAATAAATCAATAAATAAATAAATAAATAAATAAATAAATAAATAGCAACTGGTGGCGGACGTTCTTGAAAAAAGCCACCCCAAAAAAGGGGGTGCCAGGGCATAGGTGTCCTTTTGGGCCTGGTAGATGATGAAAGAACCAGGTCAACCAGGGCCATCTATTTTCTATCACAACAGAGAAGAGGACACCTACTTAGGAGTACCCCCCAAATGGTGATTGTCGTTTTGGTTTCCTGTTAAAGCCACTCCAAGAAGGGTACCAACACCGCCGATTCAAAGTTTTTTTGGCTAGAGCTGACAGCCGTCGGACCCTCGCTTTCAAGGCCACACCGAGTCCCCTTCAAGGATTCTCCACAAGACCCTGCACCAACTAACCCCAAAATCCAAAAGGCGTTGCTCGATTTGCAGAAGATCCCTAAGAAACCAGCCAGGAAATCCCGGCTTTTGGTGAGTGGTTTGCCAATTTCTTGTAGAATGGTGTCTTTTAGAATGCGGACCCCTCAAAATGGCAAACCGTTTTCCTTTTGGTTTCCCTGAAAAAAAAATCATCCCCCCAAACAAGATAGACCCAATTGGGGGGAGGGGGGGCGGGGGCCAAAAGATTGCTGGTTTCGTTTGGGTTTTGCGTTCAAAAAGGGCACCCTGAAAATCCGCCCAGGTTCCCCAACAGCCCTGGAAACCCCTGAAACCCTCCCAACCCTTCCCCCGCACCATCCAAAATTGCCGAAACGGTTTTCAACTTTTGGTTTCCCTTTCACCAAGCCCGCACGCCCAAAAGTAGGGGCACCAACCCTTCCCACAAAGCAAGGAACCCTATGCCCCCTCCCTCAATTCCAGCCAGATCCCCCAAAGCCCCCCCCGCCTTAAAAAAAACAAACCAACCCCAAACGGCTTTGAACCGAACCGAGCCGTCCCACCGAAGCGGTCGTACCGTCCGATCCGCCCGGTCGCGTCGTCCCCGATCCAAGGGGCCCAGTGCCAGGAGCCCCCGGAGCTGGCCCAGTGCCACATCATGCCACCGGACGCCGCCCCAGGCGGAGCCAAGGAGGCCGAGGCCTCGAACGTCTACACCCGGCCTCCCCCAGAAAAACAAATTGGGGAAGGGGGGGGGAAGTTAGGCCGCAACCACATCTGGGCTCTGTGTTGTTTGTTTTGCTGTTTCCTTTTTTTTGTTTGGGGGGGGGGGGGGGGGGGTGGGGGGAATTCCCGCTTTTGGTAAGGGATTTGTTTGGGGGAATTTCCTTTTGTGTGCCTGGTAAGGGAAAACAACTTTGCTTGCAGGGAAACCTTACCTGGGATGATTTGAAAGGGAAACAAAAGGAGCTCCTTGTTTTTCTGTTTCTTTATCTTGTTTTTTTCCATGTTGTTTTTTCCCGGGGGGCCTTTGTTGTAGGTCGCCATTAACTGCATCAAAAAGGAGGTCCAAAATCCCTTTTAAGAAACACCGACGAGCAACAATTAGTGACCCAAACTGAACTAGGTTCATTCCCAAAGAAATAAATTTGCTCCCCGAGAATCAGAAAGTCGAGGATTTAACAAAATACGGCGTGTCAAATTCCAAGCTGCATGTGCCTTTACATTTTTGGGCGCCGCGCGACTAGCATGGCGACCTGGTGGAGGGGGGACCTGCATACCCCCGCAACCCCCCTCCCCCCCCTCTGGGCTTGCAGACGCCAGCTCCGGCGAAGCCGCCGCTGGCACTGCCACCGGCACCACCGCCGCCGGCACCGCCGCCGGCACCGCCGCCACCGATCACTACCTCTACACGGGTGTTGGCCAAAGATACGAGACTCCAACACATGTGATTCTGTTGTCAAGGGCATTTTCAGGCATAGGTTTGCAGGTATGGATGCTCATATTCCACCGACATAAGCTTGTAAGGTGGTATGTACCTGTGGTATATAAACTCCATTTGGTTTCGCACGTCTTACGTTCTCACAGCAGTTTGTGGCACGCCCGGTGGAAAAGAAGAACGAGTGCGATCGTCAGAACTCCGTTGCACACCCCTGCATAAAACCTTTGAACGGCCGATGATGCATTCTGGATCGGGCCCATCAGCCACATTGCCATGACCATCAATTGCGCAGCTCCACCCCCCTCCCCCTCACGCCACAGGGGCCCGGGCCGTGTGCTCCACATGCATGCCGCCATTGGCGCCGCTGCCTCCGCAGCCCAGGTGCTGGTTGGCACAGCACCACGCCTGCTTTGGGGATGGCTTCGTTTTCGTGCCGGTGCGATAGACAGGGAATGAGAAATGGAATGACCCCTATAATCCCTTGTGGTTTTCTATACGCCTACTGTATCCAAATTTAGCAGTGATTAATGAAGCAAGAACACAATTAAAAGCACTTTAAGTTCGGCGGGCATTCACGGCAACCCGCATAAACAAATCAGACTTGCGAAGGCAATCGACTGAAGCCGAGCTGATTTGTTCTCGCGCCATCTCGCGCATAGGCAGCTGACGTGGCGTTGAGCAGCTAGCTACCCCAGGTTTTTCACATCAATCGCTTGCTTCCTTGCCAGCACCGAGAGCATGGATTTCCATGAGGGGACAAAGGCACCCTCTTTTTATTTGTTAAAAAGAGAGAAAAACACCAAAAAAAACACTCCTTCCCAAAAAAGACTTTGGAAGGCTTGCCGTTTCACCCACTTGCCCAAAGGACCTGGAAGTAAAAGGTCAGCCTCGGGCCATGACTATGCAAACAATTCGAACACCAAAAGGCCGTTACTATGCACCAAGATTGGACAAAAGGCCATGACTATGGACCAAATGGGGCCAAAAGGCCATGACTACGGACCAACATGCGAAAAATTGCCTCATTTCAAGTGACACAAACATGGGTGGGCCTCACGCCCCCCACGTGACGTGCCGACATGCCCCAGGACCCGCGGGATCCGCGGGGGCCGCGCCTTCTTACCCTGAGACCAGCCCTGCTGAAAGCCAGCGAGCCCGGCGTGGCAGTCGTAGGGCAGGCTCACGTGATCCCCGTGCACTGCCGTCCAGGTCCAGTAGCCGTTCACCTCACGGATCAAAACTCCAGAGGTCTTGTAGGTCATATCTAGAATATGTATATATATATATATGTGTGTGTGTATGTTACATATATATATATATATATGTATTGTTTTTGATTGAATGTGTACGCATACATGTACCTTTGTATATCTGCATATGCGTGTAACTATGCCAACGATTTGGGCCACTTGGAGGGGAAGCTCTGGGCAAAGTACATGTTGCTGCCGAGAGGGCGGGCGAAAACTGAAAACATGAACCAGTTGGAAGCATTCAGGGTGACCACAGGTGTCCTTTTGATAGAATTGATGGCTCTGGTACTAAGCTAAACCAGTGCCAGCTATGTCTCACCAAACTAATTGAAAAAAGGACACCTATGCATGCACATTGCCCAAGGGTCCGAGGACTACGTTGTCACCTTTGGAATTTGCAACGCAATGCAGCGCATTGTGAAACCAGCGATCCCCTCAAGTGTGTCAGGTGCATGCGATGGGAACCAGCGCTTACCTGGACTTCAGCAAGAATGCATGCTCAAATCTTCCGGGAGGATTTCCTGAAAATGACAGGATCAGCACAGGGCAGCAGCAAAACCGTCAGCAGGGAGTGAAAACCAACAGCGGGCAAACCAACTGCGAAAAGCAAATGGACACCGAACACAACCAAACTCAATGAGAGCCAAACATGCACAACAGCACAAACATGCGACGGGAAAAACAGGAAAACAAACACACACACACACACACACACACACACACACACACACACACACACACACACACACACACACACACACACACACACACACACACACACACTCACACACTCACACTCACACTCACACTCACACTCACACTCACACTCACACTCACACTCACACTCACACTCACACTCACACACACTCACACACACACACACACACACACACACACACACACACACACACACACACACTCACACTCACACTCACACTCACACTCACACTCACACTCACACTCACACTCACACTCACACTCACACTCACACTCACACTCACACTCACACTCACACACACACACACACACACACACACACACACACACACACATCTCCCATCCATGATCTCTCTCTGCCCCCACCTGCACGCGCTTCCACACCATGCCGAAGCCAGGATCCACCTGGCACGCAAAGTCATGCAAGGCGGCAGCTGCTTGGCTGAATCTTAACGCCTCCGGAGTCCAAACCTCCAAAAACCCAGCGGAATGAAGAACTACTTGGGGTGTGAGGGACCAAGTAGTGAGTTCAGGGGGTCTACCCAAAACTTCGCAGTGACCAGTACCTGTAAACCATGAGGTCCGACCACCGGCCAACAACCTCGGGCTCTGGAAAGCCCATTAAACCCTTCAGGGCTCACTTGCCTTCAGTGAGAAATCACAGGCCACACACATCAAATCGAGCTCGCAATCTAAAATTAGAAGCCTCGAATTCCCCCCCTCTTTCCTGCACCCAACCCCCCCTTTGGACCCACCCCTCCCATCCCACCAACCCCCCACCCCCCTTTTCGTTTGGACCCGCAACCCCTCTCCCTCAGCTCGCTCGCTCCGAAGCGATCTTCGACTCTCGCCTGCGGGGGGGTGGTGCCCTCGCAGCCCTTGCCCTGCTTGGTGCAGCACCACTGCCTCAGACCGAAGGCATCCGAAGGCTCGGGGGCCCCGGCCGTGGCTTCCACCGGAACCGGGAGAGAGAAGGGGGGGGCAGGGGGAGGGGGAGGGGGGGATCTTCCCTTTGGGGCGGGAGATCTTTTTGGCTCCCCCGAACTGACCCCAGTCAGTTGAGTCATCCCCTCTTCACGGCTTCTGGGTTGGACTCCCCAAATTCACCCATCTGCTGGGGTGCCACGTGTTTTTTCTATTTGGAGGACACGTTTCCCGATAAAACTATACGGACACTTTTTAAATATACTCCCACCCACTAACCAAACGGAACCTGACAATTCGGGATCCTGGACGATGTTTTCCCTTTAAAAGGGACATCCCTTGGTTGCTGTTGGCTCCGCCAAAAACGTGTAACTTGTCATGGGTTCAATGGGGGAAAACCGCAAAGCGTCAACCAAACAGTTTCGAAGTCCAAGGACCCATGACCAAATCGCCATGGTCAACATGTTTAAACTAGGTCCTCCAGTAGAGAGGTTAGAATAAGGGTACCCTGTTTTTCTGTAGCCTATTTTCGTAGGGTGTAACCCTCCCAACCAAGAAAGTTGGGTTAGCAAAGGGCACTACTGTACTGGGGGACCTAAGTACAGGAAACCTGGCAGGGCAGGGGGCTGGTGGGACCTTTGGGCGTGGGGGGTCCCCAATCGCCCCCATTTTTTTAGTCCAGTCTTCCCCATAAAAGGGAAATGGCTCACGAACGGAGATCTCCAGCCACCTGGTGGCCCCCAACCCCAATTCCATATTTAAGCCTGGCTGGAAGTCTCGGACCCCAGCAAAAAAAAATGCTAGCTTTTTTTGCCTGGTGGTGGAAAACAAGGGGACGCCCAAAAACGCAAGCAAATACAAAGGGGGAACTCATTCTGGGGAAGTAAGGGGGCTGGGGGGTCATCCCGTTCGTGCGAGGCGCTTCTTCTCCGGAGCCCAGGCCCGGAAGAAGTTCTGCAGCGCCGCGTTGCAGTCGAAGGGAAGGGAGGTGGCCACGTGCACCGAGCACTGGGCCTCGAGCCGAGGTGACATGGGACGTGACCCGTCGGAAATGCCACGGAGCTTGGAAATTTGGGTCTTCTGCTTCTTGTTGTTTAATTGCTTCTTGTGATGTATTTCTCTTGGGGGTGGGTGAGTGGGTGAGTGGGTGAGTGGCTGGGTGGGAAAAAAACAAAACGCTTCTTCATGGACAGATTCGGCTTAAGGGAAAGAAGGGGCCAGCGCGTTTGTCCCGGCAACAGGGGATCTACAACATCTGAATGACATGGGGAACATGGGATTCCATAGGCTGTGCACCCTGCTAGTTGTCGCCTTGGACCCGAGGAATTTGGGGCCTCAAGACCCTCCCAACCAACCGACAGGCCGGCACGCTTCTCATCAGCTGCTCAGACCATGTTGAAGTTTGGCGCGGGGCATGTCCCTGGCCCTGCCTGCCACATAGGTTTGAACATGGAAAAACCACATATTTGCATCCACTATTTCTCGGTTGCTTTCTGCGAAGCCCTGCTAAAAGTGACTAACTTTTAGTGGTGTAATTTATGAGAAGAAAAAAAACACCTAAAAGTTGGCAAAATAGTTAAAGTCCGAACATCCCTTGGCAAAATGCACCGAAGATTTGTTTCCAGGGTTAAGCCAAAGGAAGTTGATCTCCCTTGTGAGGTAGTTTCAAACATCACCTTGTTGGCCCATGAAAGGTGACTGTGTCTTGGTGGGGATGAGCAAAGAGTTCTGGGCTCAGTTGGCCAAGCATGTCGAATCCAAGGGCTTCCGACTTTCCTCTTTGAGCAGCCGGGATTTCCAGCTCTTTGGAGAACTCGAATCCCCTGCTTGGCCGTTCATCTTGTGCGTATCCACATTGGGGATCCTGAATTCTTGCTTCAAAAATGGCACTGTCCATGGATACCAACCATAGGTGGCCTTTGGGAAAATAGATGGCCCTGGTAAATGGAATGATACCCACCTAAACCAGTGGAACCCATCTATTTCCTGTCCAAAATAACCTAAAAAAGACACCTATGTTCCCAGCCCAAAATCATACCTATGTCTCCCTACTTCTGTGCAAAATGTCGCCCAACAAGACTCCCTAAGACAGGTCCTCAGCCCGGAAGTGACCTGAACCAAAAGGGGAGGATGCTGAAAACGGAGTTGGCCCCCAAGCGCCCGGCTTCCTGGATGGAGCAGGCGCGGCAAATGCTGCATTCCACTTGGACCTTGCGCGCCGAAACGCGAGGTCGGTATGCCTTGGTTTTGATTGTTGGTTGGCACCTACAATCAGTCTTGCTTGCTTTGAGTTGTTGTGTCTTTTGTTGTTTGATTTGGTTTTGGGTTTGTTTTTGATGCCCTACGAGTGGATGCCTTCTTGGAAGGCGCATCCAAAGAGTGCTAAGAGAGTGCAAGAATTGGTGGCATCCCCAGTTGGGTCGTGTAACATCTTGCCTAGATACAAGGACAGCTCTCTTTTAGCCAGCGCTCGATCTAGACTTTGCAAGCACGCATATCAGGCTTCCAGACTTTCTCAGAAGAGCCATCAAAAAGAACATCTGCTAACTCACTGCGAATGGTGCCCTTTTGCCGCACGAGTTGCTTCCAATCCTCCAACGATGACTGGAAGAAAGCCCGGATTCATAACCCCGTCCCTTTTCATAGGGGGTGTAATTTCCTGCTGATTCCTCGCTGAAAAATAAAACTGGGGTTGATCAATCCCGGGTGTGGGGTTGAGTACCCAGGCGTTTGCATGGAAGCTGTCATGGTTTGTTTGGAAGACTTGGTTCCATTTACAGTTCTAGGGTTGACTCCCCATTCTTTTCAACCATCTTTCTTTTCCAAAACCAGCTGTTTCCCCTGAGTTCTTGATGGTTCCCTAGTAAAAAGAAGGAAACGATGGGGAAGCTTCCCCTAGAACAGTTACCTTCTGGAAGCTGCCATGCTGGTTAGTTAGCCTGCGCGAGTGGAATGTTGAGGCTAAAATGATTCCCTTGTCACCTGGCTGTGGGTCAACAATAGGTACCCCAAATCAACACTGATAAATACAAAAGTAGACTAAAACCTGCCGTCCACAGGTGGTGAAATTTTGACCCATACCCACCTCTCTGTGAGCAACAGCCCAGCAAGCACTCGACTTCAGGCCCGTGCCTGGCTGTAGGCCTGGCCGCAGGCGTTGTTCTTGCCCTGGCCGGGGGCATGGCATGCACGACCAGTACGCCTCTTGTGGCCATGGGTCAAAGCCAAATCGGTTAGCCCCCGGTGAACATCCGATTCAATCCAACTTAAAGTAGGTTCTAAAATGGGTGGTGAATTCACCTACCCCAAAATGGTACCATTGGTTTTGACCCACAGCCTTGTGGAGTTTGAAACAGAAATTCGGATCAGTCGTAGAAAATGGGAGGCATACATGGTTGGTGTTGAACCCTGCAGAAAGCTTAACCTTTTGGGGGTTTAGTGGAAAACTATTTCCCAAAAAAATAAGGTCGAACGATCCAACCCAATAGCAGTCACGCACTGAGCCTATGTTGCTTCTAGAACCTTACAACGGAGTCCAGGCATCCAGAAATCTCTGCATTTTCGGACATCCTGCACATGGTAAGAAGAGCGACCATCAGCGTGATATGTAGTTTTTGGCCCTTTCAGTAGAACCCAAAGGCACGGGCGGCGCGGACGCATCTGTGGCTTCTGATGCCTGGTCAAAAATCCGTATATGGCCAAAGGGTTGCGAGGGAATCATGAAGGGTCCATACCCCCAGGTGGAATCGCAACTCTCAACCCAAGGAAAGGTCTTTTGAACCACACATATGGGGGTGTCTTTTCTTCAGGGGGACCCCATGGTGTTGTTTCCTTCAGGTTTTCCGGCAATTATCAACTAATAAAAAAGGACAAACCCCCCCCCCCGGCCCCAAAATGGAGGTGCTCTTTTTCCTTCAGGTGTTCTTTCCAAACCAGAACTCCCAACGACGAGGCTAAAAACGGCCGCGCCTGAAAGACGTTGTCCCTGGTCCAATGGATGCGCTCCAGGCACGTGGCGGTCTCCCCCGCATGCGTGCAGGGCGCGTGGCACTTCAGAGGCGACCTCGGGTCGTCGCCGAAACGTCGAAACGCGGCGAGGCGACTGCGCTGGCCCCGTGAGAGGAGACCTTGGCGAGTTGGGGACGTGTTTCTGAGGGAACCCGCGAAAATGAGCGGGTTTTCCTCTTGGCTTTCCCGTATCGACCAAACAAAGGGTACCAACGCCCCTCAAAAAAACATACCTGCATGGAAGCTCCCAGGACCCCTTGAGACTGCATGATCAAAGGCACCAAGTGGTAGGTCACAGGGAAACAACCCGAATTGAAACAGCAAATTCCAATTTTCCGACTTTGATCACCCCTATAAACAGTCAATGGCCCCAAATGAACCACTTCTTGACATTCGTGCTCCAGCGTGCCAGGATTTTGCCACCTACCCAACCATTTTCCCCATGTCCAGGTTGACAGTTTGACCCACTTTTGACCACCACAATTCGCCCCCTTTGACCTTGACAGTTTGACCTCCCCTTGGACCACCAAAGTCGCCTTCTTTGACCCACCCCCTTCCCTTTGACCACCTCTTGGACCCCTTTGTCCAGGGGCTTGTACATACCCCTTTTACATACCCCTTGGACAAATGAACCCAGAAGGCCTCCCGATGTTCATACCCCTCTCCCCAGAAGGGGCATACACCCCTGATAAAGTGGGCTGGAAACCAGGGAAGCCAAGGGATATGAACAACGAGAATGTACTGCCACCCTTAGACTTTTGACCCACCCCCCTCCCTTTTGACCCTTTGACCACCCCTTGGCCACCCCTACCCCTTTGAAAGACATCCTCTCCAGGCCGCAGGGTCGTTGCTGCGCAGCCCTTCTGGAAGTTGCCGCAGCACCAGCTGCGCTTGGCCGCCGTCCACGCGCCCACGTCCCCATCGCAGTGGTGCGGCACGCAGCCCCGGTTCTCCTTCTCGCAGCACCAGCTCCTGAGGCTTTTCGGCTCCGGACGCGAGGGTTGGGCTCCCGAGAAACAAAAACGACCAAAAAAAACGAAACGCACGTTCGGTGCGCGTTGTTTCTCCAGGTTTAACCGCTGAAAGCCATGAGCTTACAAATACAGGCGCTGAAACACAATGACAGAGATGGACATAGAAATGCAGAAAACAATCATGCCCCGCCGTTTTCCCAAATGCACATGTTTCTCTCTATTCGACTGGCAGTTGCTTCATGAAAACCATGGGCAGGCGATGCCATATTGTCTCCGAACACTTGGGCCTTTCAGTTTCAAGGACCTCGGAGAAAAAAAAGAAAAAAACGATTCAGCCAAAGCATCTTCTTGGAGTCAGACCATCCGTGCAGCCAGTTGGAGATCCCGGCGTTGCAGTCATAGATGCGGCCAGTGGCATGGCCCGTCTCCTGCCAAAGCGCCAAAACGCCCCGCTTTGGTTCCCATGGGCGGTTTTGCGGTTTTCTAGACCCAGTTGGTCAGTGACCCTGGAAAAAAAAGGGAACCCTTTTTGGGGCTTGGACCATTTTAGTGGGGCCACCAAAAAAAAAGAGGGGAAAAAGGGAGCCACTCAACAACTGAGTAGAAAGAAGGATGCCTGGAAAGAATGGGGAAGTTGCCCCTAGAGCCATTGCTGGCTTCCCCAATCACCCAAACACCTCAACAAAAACAGGGGTGAGGTCTGAAGACCTTGCCAGCCTAAAAGAAGGTAAGAAGTTCCGCGAGCGGAGCATGTTTGGATGAACTCGGGGACTAAAGGACAAACTCACATCTGGCTCATTGCCGTCCAAACTCACCTTGCCTCCAAGTTGAGTGAACACAACCCACTGCCCCACTGGAAGCTTTCAATGAAAATGCATCAAAAACTAACCCAGGAGCGGGAGTGTCAGCATCAACTATCCGGGGCGCAACAGGTTGTATCCATGTATCAGCCTGAGATAGCGTGAGCCAAACTCGCGTGCCATTGTTTGCTTGGACTGGGATTGCAAGATTCTCATCCTAACTCTCTTTAGTGTCAGTTTGTGGTGCGATTGTCTCACTTCCCGAGTAGATTGGCCAGAAAAAGTTTTTGTTGGGTTGATCGCCACGAAAACGGGCTTCCCAACAAGTGAGCAAAGTCAGGAACTCAGGAAGTGAGTTGTGGAGCGCGTCTTCCCATCCATCCTTGGTCATGTGCGTCTCCAGGTGGAAACTGCCATGCCAGGTGCCCGGGCAGCCTCGGGACACCTGTTCACAGCACCACTTCCTTGGATGCGAACCGGAGAAAGCTGGGGAACACACGAAACTCAAGGGAAAAGATTCTAAAAGGGGGGAACAAACTCAAGGGGAAAGCTGGGGAACACATCATATTTTTGGACACGCTGTCAGACAGGCAGGCCCAAACTCATATCCATGTCTCTCTACTTCTGTGGGTCCTGGATCTCGCCTTTTTGATGGCGCACGGGAGCCTGCCGGTGCTAAATTCATCGCCGGTTCGCCAGATTCGCCGAGGCGCTTTTTGGAGTTGGACCATCCGAAGTACCAGTTGGAGTAGCCGGCGTCACAGTCGAAGTGATGCTCATGCTCATGCTCATGATGCTCATGCTCCGTATGGTGATAAATGCGGATGACCTCTGGGGGGGTTGGCACGGGCACTGGCACGTGCTTCACCAGGTAGTGAACTGGGCCCGGCACCGGCACTTTGATGTACCTGATGCTCATATTCTGAGTCACCACAGCCGAATAACCTTCCCATCCCCTTGGCTCACTTCCTAAGTGGACTAGCCAAGAAACAAGTCCAAAGCTTGTGTTTGCCACTAAAAGGGACTTCCTAAAAGTTTAAAGTTCATGAACGCAGGGAGTGAGTTTCAGTATCATCCTCTCTCTCTCTCTCACTCTCTCTCTCTCGGCCGGGACGTAGTCAACTTCAAGCTACCCACAGTTTCAGCATGCAAGAAACAACTCGCGCACACTGTCAAGGAGTGTCATGAAATCCGCCGACATTGCTCGGCGTGTCGGATACTTACTAGAGGATAGAGGATAACCCCCCCCCTAACCCC